CCATTCTTAAGATCTAAATATATAAAAGGCAAAGCCCTCACTGACTCACTCACTCATCACTTATTCTCCCACTTCCCATTTACCTAGGAGGCTGAAATTCGGTACACCGATTCTTTGGGCATTAAATAGGAAAACTAAGTAGTTTTTATTCTGATCGGGCTTTCGGGCTCCGCCCCAGTGGCTCTGGAGTTTTCTATGTTAACCTTATGATTTTTCATATTTAAAAGGAATTAATGAATCTTAACAGCTGTTTCAATTAAACAAGTTGGTTCTGTTCTATGATGTTCAATATCATTAAAGTTACAAGGATTACCAACAGGGTGCAGCACTATTATTTTTTTAAATTTATGACAACAGCTAATTTGCAACCAAAAGGTGAGTGAGCATAGCGAACGAACTTCAACCAGGACGTGATTGAGCCATGGGAATACTTATGAAGCTAAACGGGGCAAAGCCCACGGGTACAGCTAGTATATTTATACACTGTATTGTGTTTATAAGTTTAAGAGGAAATTTAATAGCTAGAACAGTGGCTGCCATCAGTAATGAAGCCAAGATAGTAGTTGTATAGGGCTTCCCTCCCTCCCCACCCTGCCAACACTTAGCATGGCTGTTTTGTGTTCTACCTCTCTATAGTCTGAGGTTCTACATTTGACTATACAGTACATGCACTTATGTAAATAATAAATGCCGTTCTCGTGTTAAAATTATTATTGCTAGAGTTTTAATAAGATTCCACTCACAGAATGCGCTGATGTTTTTATCTTAAACGTCAAATTAATAATTATGACTAACTAATAAAAGTCAATTTATTGTAAGCCATGTCATATCATTTCATTTTTTCAAACCATTGTATACTTTTTGTATGTATTGTTATAGTATAAAATAAACATTATCACTGTTAAACGGTTTGCTCTTTAGTACATGGATGGGGTGCATTCCTGAAGCTTTGTATTATTAATGAATATTATTATTATTAAATTTGGTTTTAAATTTATTTATATACAAAAATTATAATTGAAATAAATTGGTTTAAATAAATTTGATTTATTTTTGAATTCTTACTTCAATTTAAGATGTATTTCACCAGTTATAATTATTTAATCCTATATATTTTAGTCTAAGAACCTTCAGTGAAATAACTGGCTTTCATTTAAGCTATATATTAATTATTCAAATCGGACGAGTTTCAAGCAAGCGCAAAGTGAACTACCAACATAAAAATACTTTTATAAGGTTTTTCTATGATGAAAAATCAATAACTCCAGTATTGTTTGTGTTTTGTTTTAGACTAAAAATAATCAGTAAATCACAGGCTTTAATTTGAGCTATTGGTCATTTTAATCAGTTAAGTTCAAGTAATCGTATTATAATTATTCAATCAAAAATCATAAATTTGATTATTTCTCAGATATGATATTTATTTTTACCCTGTGGAGGTACATAAGTCCTCATCTAGTGTATATTAAAATACAAGCGGCTGTATATAATTTAGATTAATTTAAAATAACTCCACTTATGTTGGAAACCGGAAACTGACTAAACCCAGCTAAAATCCTAAAACTTATCACGTTTGTTTTTTATCAAAGGTATTTTTTCTACACGTGTTTTAGTGAGTTAAACAGTTTACTATCTAATAAGATAGTCACATCTTGATGAATTCTATTGTATACAATACGTTTAATGTCTTGTTCTGTACAAGTTCTATTGTATTATTTACTTACTTTCATTTTTTTGATCAAATCATCCAATTCCTTTTTCAGCTGTGTGGTTTCCGGATCGTCTTTCGGCATTTTTGTTATTCTAAATCTGAAAAAGTCAAATGAGTTTTAAAGTTATATAAATAGAATAACTCTAAAGAAATTAATTACCAGAATTAAAGCCTATATAAGTATATTATTTTTATAAAAAAATTATATCCCAACAAAAGTAATTCTCTCCTTGTATTTAAAAAAATAACAAAGAGAGCAATCAGCCTATTAGGAAGAATGGGGGGCTTTGGTCCTAGAGATTCTGGGTTCAAATATTGCATATCACCAATATGGATCTATGTGGAAATACTGCAACAATAAATCTAGCCTGAAGTATATGTAAGAACTTCTAATAGACCATAACTAGCAAAACAAAAGAAAATAACCTGTGTAATCACTCATGCTTTACTGAGATACTTAATTAGCTTCTGAATTGTATAGAAGATTCTATTGTAATGAATCAACTGGTTAGTCTTATTGATTTTAGTTGGTTTTTCATTCTTATAAAATATATTATTTTTTACATAAAAAAATTACAATTTTGATTTGGATGACGAAATAGTTTTAAACCATAATTCTAAAACTTGATCAGAACTAGATGTATCTATTTTTTATTGTTTTAAATTTAAAAAATCACTTGTATAAGCGGAATGCATCATACTGTATTTGACAAATATTTAATTCACATGCTTGGAGATTTTTGCTCAAAACAAATTTTACAAGCAAAGAAGTGGCCAATGGTTATAAATTAAAAATATTACAGATGATAAAGAAAGAGAATGAAGAAAGAAGGAGAAAACCTTTCACACACTTAGCCTCTTAAAAATAATGATATTTTTTTCCAAAAAAGAATCCCCACTCTTTGAAACACTCCTATATTTCTCTACTACTATAGATTGCACAATTCCGAACGAAAATACACTTTCAAATTAATATTTTTGGATTTACTGTTTTATACTTTCTAGAGACCTCTCTTTTGTTCTGGCACACACTGAGGCAGGAAGTTTTCCTTTTTTTATCAAGAACAAAGGTAAAAGTCAATTTTATAAGTATTTAAATTATGACACTCCTCTTATGTAGATGTTTTATGATGTAAAAACACTTTTTTACAGTTTACCTAATTTTTTAAAGTTTAAGAAATCCAACTCAGTCACTTATTTTTACTGAGGATATTATTTTTTTTGTTATTAGGCCTATGTACCTATCTAAGTTATAATAAAAATATAATAATTCTATTTTTTCAGTTTGTAAGTTAAGATAAATTAACCAATTTTTAAACAGAAAAAATAAATATCAAAATTTCAAAATAAGATAGTAACTAAAAACATCAATAAATAAACATACCTGGGCTAGATGTGTAAGAAGAACTGTATGCCACAAGGGCTGGTAGCGTGCTTGTACTAATCAGCTTACACGGGGGCTTATTTGATTAACTTTATACTTTAACTGGCTTACACTCTGCCATGCCAGACCCTTCCACAAGCTAACAGGTCTTCCTGTATAGTAGTTGCATCAACACACTATTGTAGTGCACTCATCCAAGCAAGAATTAATGTATAAATATTTTTCTTGAGACAAAAAACCTATGCCTTTTAAATTTCTCAATGTAAGTAACAAAATTGGAAATAATGTATGATGAAATCTGACACGATTCTAAAATTTATCAGAGTGAACAAAAAAATTCTAATAGAAAAAAGATGTTGGGAGTTGTATGTATATAAGGGTAACTAAATGTGAGTGTAACAGACTACAAGCTATCAAGCTAATTTCAGTCCCTTCATACATCGTTGTTTCGTTAAACGAGTATGTTTTATCTATGGTAAAACTAAACCCCTAACTGAAAAAGTAAAATAAATTATGAATTGCCAACTAACTGGCCAATTTATTAAGATGGGGACGCTATTGCATCTGCATGGACCTATTTGCTCCCAAATACCAAATGTGAGTAAAGGGCATGTAAAGGGTAGGTGAACAATGAAAGAGATGCCTTGTGTGTAGCTTTGTTGTTTCTGACTAAGAACAGATGTTTATTTAGCCATGATAATTTATTAAAACTCAATGAACAGTCGTGACTCATCATCAACCGGTTATGCACCTCGTGTTAAGCGACTATGGTACTTGGCCAAGTTTTTGGACAGATGTCGTTTTTGTATGTGTTTTGTCTTTCCTGTCTCAGAAGAGATATTTGTAAATGCTGACGACCTCATTCATGGACGAGAAAACTGTTTTTAACTAGAATATGTGCTCTTAGCATCACTAAACAGATGTATAGTTATTTATAACACTACAATATAAGGATCAAATTACAACAATTAAACTAAACCTTTTAATCTCCTGCAATATCTTGATCCAGAGGTGAATCATGAAAATGCTTTCAATTTTCCTAGCCCAGCAACCAAGCTTTCGTGTTCTTAAAAAAATACACAAATTAATTACCATTATAGCTGCATCCAAACAAAATCAGCTGTTACAACCCTACTTGCGATGTTGCCACTTCGAAGGCCGTGGCCTGGAGTCAAAAAGGTGGCTGTGCCTCAGGTGTCTCCCCCCAATTTTTTTCTCTGGATCTACCCTTGCCAATCTCTACGAATCTCTTTTGTGGAACTTTAAACACATCTAAATAATAATAAAGTTAAAGACCAAATCCACTATAGGCCTACTACATAGAGGAAAAAGTAAAAATAATTAAGGCGCATATTTCTATGCCGGACAATGGTCAACAAAAAGATTTTTCTTGTGATGGGGAAGGAATCATAATTTGACTATGGATGCTGCTGGTAAACAACTTATCATAATATTATTGAACAATAATTGCATGTATCCTGTTCATTACGTTTCAATGCTACAAGGCTGAGGCTGATATGCACCTGATGTCGACTAATTTGTATATATTCTTATTCTTGATGGATACATTTTGAATTGTATATTTTATAATCGGTATAGTTATAATATCAAAGGCTAGCAGTACAGTAGTAAGTATAAACTAAATAGTGAAATGGAAGCTAAAACAAAAACATAGAAATCTTAGAAACCACAATGTTAAAAGTTTGAGTTTCAATGTGTTATTATTGTGCATTTTCACAATAATCAATCCAACATCATCTTGAGTGAAGGTCAAAAAGTTCTTCAATATTCTACTATCCTTACTCTATGGTTGGCCGGGACACATGTTTAATTTCACTCACGTGTGGATGTTTGAAGTGTTAAGTTAACCTCAAAAACTTAACCTATTGGGCTTCAATCAATCCCTATTTGTTGTGTTTTGTTTGATTAACTTATATTATTATTAAATTGAAGAACTTACCTTTAGTTGGTTATGTTTGGATTTTGTTAAACAACACTGTGGTAAATTTAACGTCAAATAAATGATTATGGAAAGCCCTGTTGTAAATAAAAATTTGAAACGTAAACGTTTATCATCATCATTCCCAGAATCTATTAAATCACAAAATTTGCCCGATTTTATCCAGGGAACATCACTTTTCATACAGAAAATAGGACAGAAAAATGACCAAGAGGTAGGTTCAGTCATAGAATAAGTTATACTATTAAAATTAGAATATGAATAGGACCTAGGCCTAGGATAAATGAAGACTAAAAGCTTTGATATCGGACATAAGTCAATCATTTTAGGATCTATATTGATTTTAAAACTACTGTATTGAAATTCTGGCAAAAATTTGATATCGGAATACATTGTCGATTACTACAGTCAATAACTTGCAGCTAGTTCTGTTCCCACAGCCCTAACATTATTTTAGAGTAACTTAACTTAACTATTTACTTATTTAGTAGGCCCATCTTAAAATAGCATTAAGTAATACGTGATGTGTTTCTTATGGTTCTCAAAACCTTCAAAGGTCCTAAACAGGTGCGAGTCCACAGTTTAACTTAAACAACGTTTTACATCTTGTGGGGCCTAGACCTTCTCATCTTACTTACTTAAAAGTTACTTAAGTGTTACTTAGCCTACTTACAACTTACTTCTGAAGTCTTCTCCACAATCGGGTGATTTGGGAATCGTCATGATTCATTAGTTTGGGGAACGGTTCTCGAAGTGAGCCCTGTTATCTAAGGCGTTGAAAAGTGTGTTCCTCGATATACACTGCTGTAGTGTAGTAGGGCCTATTGATTAAGTATTGTTTAAGCTTGTGTATAAATGCGTTGTGGTTTTCAGTGAATTTTATAGGATCAGGTAGTAAATTGTAGAAATCTGAGCCGGTGTATAGCCTAGTGGAGTGTTGCTGAATGTTGTGAGTCTGTGTTTATTTATTTATTTATTCATACCAACGGTCAAACCAATACATAAATATGACAAAGCATTGTGACTTAATTTAAAAATAGACATTTTTGAAACAAATTAAGCCAACTTGAAGTAATCAATAAATAGATTAACAATAGACAACAAAAAGATTAAGATATAACAAGATGAAGGACATAAAAAGATATGAAAAGGATTTAAGACATAACAAGATATAAAATGTAACAAGATATAGATATAACGATGTGACAAGCAACAACAGTATAAATAGGAGATGAATATACAAAATATAATAAATAACAATATAAATAGATATGTGGAAGATGTGTTGTGGAAGATTGATGTTTGCCCTATTTCGTGTGTTATCTAGATGTGTTTACCGTAGCCTACTTATCTTTTTTGAGACTGGGCGAGGCGTTTTTGGCCAGGATTATGGTTTCCAGTATATGAAGTGAAATAACGGTAAGGATTTTATTTTGGACAAAGAAGTGCTTGCAGTGTTCCTGATAGTTCAGCTGCAGTATTGTTCTGATGACAGGTTTCCTTTTAAAGGATGAGGACTTTGTCGATCTTCTTGCTAATAGGTGCTGATTCCCACGCTGCTATTCCATATCTCAGGTGATAGGCCACCCATGCTGTTTCTTCATTTGTAATATTTCTGATTCGTCTAATTAGGCCTAAGTTACAATTTGCGTAGCCGACAGTTTTTTACAGATATAATCAATGTGGCTAGGCTACTCCAGTTTAAGTTTTTAATCTATGAGTACACTGAGGAATTTGGTTGAGTCCGAGTTTGATATGGTCGAGTTATGAATGTGTTATAACTATATATTTATAGTTATCCATAATTATAAATGTGTTATGCAGTAAAACAGCTCTTCAAGCTACAAAAATAATGTTAATATTTTCATTTCACCTAATAAAATATAACCCTTTTTGATTAATTAATAGTGCAGAATCAAAAGTATTCATGTGATTAAATGTCCAAATCTTTTCTCCATAAGGATTTTAACATGGGAACATTAAAAGCCACTGAGACAGAGCCCTGATAGAGTTTCTTGAAAACGGTTCTTATTGCACACCTAGAGGTTAATTGGGAACCTCAATGCCAATTCCTGAGTTATTAGGCTTGTAGTTTTTAAGATACAGTGATCAGTGAGTCATTGAGTGGTTTGACTTTTATAAGTCTATAGGCTACTTAATTCAATAAGTTCACCTGGTACATTCCTGTCAGCACTATGCTGAGCGGCTAACAGCTGAGTATCAAGCTTAGCGCAGCGCTGTCGCAGCCTGGCGTGTACTCTCGACTCTGCGAACTACGTCCAGTAGGGACACACTCACTACTTGGGGACACAGAATACGCACAACACAGGATCTTTATCTCTGTTTATATTACTTCTCTGTAGCCTAAATGTGTATTACTGTATAGTTTGTCATAAAATCAAATCCAATTACATCTCGCCAGGATCAATTAGTATGGAAAATTTATTAAAATTTATCTTACTTATTCATTTAGGCGGCTAGAACCAGTGGAGATTTTAGATTTAACTCTTTTACCACTCCTGCCCAATTCTAAGTTAAGTAGCCTAACTTATTGATGGCATTCAACACTGGCTTTTTAAGGCCTATTAACGATTTTAAATTACTATCTTAAATTACCGTAGGTACCTTTAAATAAACCTAAGGTGTGTTAATTAAAACTTAAGTATAAAATCTCAGTTTTATAATAAGGTTTGCTGCGTAGTTATGGAAAGCTATTAAATTTGAGGCTGTGTCAAAGTCGATTCAAGCCACCAGATTTCTTTCCTTAGGCCTAACTGTCCATAAACATTTTCACCCCCATCAAAAAGACTGGGCCTAACAATTTTTACTTAACTTACTCTATGTTTAATCTATAAGCTATAATTGACATGGTACTTGCCATTGACTTAACTTGTATATCAAACGTAGGATATGCTTCTCCTACTGTAATCTTTCCATATAGATTCATGTACCGGTAATGTCATAGAGAGTAGGCCTACTCTAGTATACAAACTCTAAGGATGGATATATGTTTTGAATTTTTTAGGGAGTACTCACTCCTCCGAGAGCTATTAAGATGCTGGTTCGAGGGCTTGGCTCAAGCAACACTCAAGTACAGAAGAACTACTTTGCAGCCCTTGTAGCACTTCTGAAGTCACACAGCTCCTCACCGGAGTTCACTGTAGAATCTGTCCTGGATGCAATCACATCCGAACTTCATGCTACAGGGCACATAAAGAAAGGGGTAATTTCTCTACTTAAGTAACTGTTAAGTTATGAAAACCACTAGGCTCCATCCTGTGTCTTTACGTCAGCATCATTTAACACAACTGACATACAGACTCGGAATCGTGGATTTTTCTGGTTGCATCAATTGTTAGTGACATATCAGTATACACCACAAGGTTGGAAAGTAGGCGTGTTTAAATGGTACAAGCATGATAGATCCCATGCAAGACTTGACTAGCTATTTTGTGCCTGATCATGGTGTCTACTCTCCGGGAAATTCGGGAAAACCGGGAAACCTCCGGGAATTTTATCTTACCTTGAAATGTCCTGGAAAACTCCAGGAATCCACCCAAACCTCCGGGAATCCGTAGCCCAGTCATCGGAATCGTCGCCTAACCGAAACACTACCGCTTTTGTTGCCACGATCGCGGGAAACGATTATCGGTGTTGCCGAAACCGCAAGATATGCTCACGGGTATTGCCGCGATCGCGAGTGACGATTATCGGTGTCGCTGAAACCACGAGATATGCCTACGGGTGTTGCCGCGATCGCGGGAAACGATTATCGGTGTTGCCGAAACCGCAAGATATGCTCACGGGTATTGCCGCGATCGCGAGAGACGATTATCGGTGTCGCCGAAACCACGTGAGATGCCTACGGGCGTTTCCGCGATCGCGGGAAACGATTATCGGTGTTGCTAAAACCGCAAGATATGCTCACGAGTATTGCCACGATTGCGAGAGACGATTATCGGTGTCGACGAAACCACGTGAGATGCCTACGGGTGTTGCCGCGATCGCGGGAAACGATTATCGGTGTTGCCGAAACCGCAAGATATGCTCACGCGGGTATTGCCGCGATCGCGAGAGACGATTATCGGTGTCAACGAAACCACGTGAGATGCCTACGGGTGTTGCCGCGATCGCGGGAAACGATTATCGGTGTTGCCGAAACCGCAAGATATGCTCACGCGGGTATTGCCGCGATCGCGAGAGACGATTATCGGTGTTGCCGAAACCGCAAGATATGCTCACGCGGGTATTGCCGCGATCGCGAGAGACGATTATCGGTGTCGCCGAAACCACGTGAGATGCCTACGGGCGTTGCCGTGATCGCGGGAGACGATTATCGGTGTCGCCAAAACCGCAAGATATGCTCACGGATATTGCCGCGATCGCGAGAGACGATTATCGGTGTCGCCGAAACCACGTAAGATGCCTACGGGTGTTGCCGCGATCGCGGGAAACGATTATCGGTGTTGCTAAAACCGCAAGATATGCTCACGGGTATTGCCGCGATCGCGGGAGACGATTATCGGTATTGCCGAAACCGCAAGATATGCTCACAAGTATTGCCGCGATCGCGAGAGACGATTATCGGTGTCGCCGAAACCACGTGAGATGCCTACGGGCGTTGCCGTGATCGCGGGAGACGATTATCGGTGTCGCCAAAACCGCAAGATATGCTCACGGATATTGCCGCGATCGCGAGAGACGATTATCGGTGTCGCCGAAACCACGTAAGATGCCTACGGGTGTTGCCGCGATCGCGGGAAACGATTATCGGTGTTGCTAAAACCGCAAGATATGCTCACGGGTATTGCCGCGATCGCGGGAGACGATTATCGGTATTGCCGAAACCGCAAGATATGCTCACAAGTATTGCCGCGATCGCGAGAGATGATTATCGGTGTCGCCGAAAGTGCGAGATATGCCTACGGGAGTTGCCGTGATCGCGGGAGACGATTATCGGTGTCGCCAAAACCGCAAGATATGCTCACGGATATTGCCGCGATCGCGAGAGACGATTATCGGTGTCGCCGAAACCACGTAAGATGCCTACGGGTGTTGCCGCGATCGCGGGAAACGATTATCGGTGTTGCTAAAACCGCAAGATATGCTCACGGGTATTGCCGCGATCGCGGGAGACGATTATCGGTATTGCCGAAACCGCAAGATATGCTCACAAGTATTGCCGCGATCGCGAGAGATGATTATCGGTGTCGCCGAAAGTGCGAGATATGCCTACGGGAGTTGCCGCGATCGCGGGAAACGATTATCGGTGTTGCTAAAACCACAAGATATGCTCACCACGGGTATTGCCGCGGTCGCGAGAGACGATTATCGGTGTCGCCGAAACCACGAGATATGCCCACGGGTGTTGCCGCGATCACGGGAGACGATTATCGGTGTCGCCGAACCCGCGAGATTTCCTCACGGCTATTGCCGCGATCGCGGTAGACGATTATCGGTGTTGCCGAAACCGCAAGATATGCCTACGGGTATTGCCGCAATCGCGAGAGACGGTTATCGGTGTCGCCCAAACCGCAAAATATGCATAAGGGTGTTGCCGTGATCGTTGACGGTGTGACGTTTTGTCGCTGGTGTTGAAGATACTGCAAGATATGCTCACTGATATTCCCACAATCGCGGGAGATGATAACTGGTGTCGCCTTACCTACCAGTTATATTGTTTTATTATGTTGTATAAAATATTATTCTTTGGAAATGTTTTGTTTCAAATAATAATAATCATTATTATTAATAATAATAATAGCCTAATAATAATCATTTTCATTTATTAGCGGGTTGCGATTAGTTAAACGGGTTCCGATAGTAGCTCCTTAAAATTCAGGAATTTGTCTTGAATTCTCCTGGAAAACTCCTTGAATTTTTCAAACCAGGTTTAGTAGACACCATGCTGATGTCTTATGTCTTTACCGAACTCCTTCTGTAAATAACATTTTTCTACTCTAGGCCTACAAAGGGTACAACAATTAGCTGCTTAACTTACTGTGTAGTGTGGTGAAAATGTAGAGTAAATTTAAAATCTAAGTTGTAGTCATTTTTTGTGAAGTATAAAAAGTAAGAAATGCATTTATTCATCAAATATGATATTTAAACACCTTTTTTGGCACACTTCTTGCAGATAGATAAATGCAGATTTGGTTGGTTGTGTTTACTATTGATGTAATTTGGTATTTTTTCGTAGACTACAATAGACTAAAACCCATTGACATTTCTTGCCTTGTTAAATACCACAGCTATAGAGATTAGATATATGAATTAATTGTAATTGTGACTTGTTTCTTTACTTTTAAAGGAGGAACGAGAAATATTGTTGGGTAGAGTTTTATCATTTGGTGTTCTGGTACGCTCACAAATCATTCATCAAGCTTCTAAAGATGATCAAGCGACATTATTGAAACAATTCTTTCAAGATATGAAGGAGAAATCGTACTTGCCTCTACTTGGGGATCCATTCCTCATTGATTATCTAAAACAGGTATGTGTATTTTTAAGTTAGTAGTGATTAGTTAAAACTATGCTATTAAATAACAAATTTCTTATCTGGGATAATTTTAGGACCTTAATTTCACATGGTGTCTACTCTAAGGGAAAACCGGGAAACCTTTGGGAATTTATCATGAGACTATTCTTCAAAATATAGAAATTAGGAACGTTAATGATTCTCTGTGTTGGCAAAGGTGGTTTTTTGTACAAGGGTGGTCTAAAAGGTGAGTTAGTACATACCGTTCAACAGGGATTGTGTATTTTGTAAGTTCGAAAGACAATAAGCTGTATCTGAATAAAAGTCCTAAAAACTACTTTTATAACTTGCCATCTCCCAACTTGCTGCTTTACAGGATTATCTATGTGTGGGTATATAACAAAATGCTCATCCAAAATTTTATTTGGCCAAGAAATTTCTAAAAAGGTAAACAGAAGTTGGAAGCATAGCTACTTGCTTGGTCAAGTAAAATCACCAGGGCCCTGTTTCATAAAACTACTAGTCTAGTATTTACTAGTCCATGGACTAGTAATACTAGTGTATTTTACAAGTCTACGTTTCAAAAACTTACTAGTGTAAAATACTAGTTACTAGTGTAGGGACTAGTATTACTAGTGGTTTTTACTAGTGTAGACAGCAATGTGTTTCATAAAGTTTTACTCTTGTAAATTACACTAGTAAATACTTGCTATTTTCTACCAACCTCTCTTCACCCGTATCATTTGAAGTAGACTAGTATTTTTGGAAAGAGAGCTATTTCATTACTCACATCATTAAAAAAAATGAATTATTAAGTTCTTTTTGCAAGTGCGAATTGGCTCACGAATAGATCTGTGAGTGCTAAAATGACAATTATTAGATATAAATTACAATCAATAAATGTGGCGTGGTACAAAATGAGTGAAATTCAATTTTATAATGTATGTACAATCGCCCTATTAGAATAATTATGATTAAGTTATCAATTTCTGTGATTTTTTTGTCTAATTTTACTTGAGTTAAATTTCATGGTTATATCAACTATTTAGCTATCACAGAGAAAAAATTTTTAAGCTTTGATAGGAACCAAATTAAAACCGCATATCGTTTTGAATACAAAGATGTACAAAAATGTATTAATCAGATTATTTTACACCCAATTAAGGCTCTCGGTTTTATTTAAAGACATTTTAATAGGAAATAATAGTAAGGCAATTTTAAAAAGGAGTTGCATTGTATTTTTTGAGGTGCTTATTATTTGCTTCCGTAAATAGCTAAAACCCTGTGATATACTAACAATTTTGTAGACCTATATTTGATTTTTGGGCGTTGAACTTAACTGCTTATCATAAAAACATTACTTTCATTGGTCATTTTGGTATTCTGAATTTGTTATTCAAAGTAATAAAAAAATAGATGTTGATTAGAGCTGTTATTTTAATGTAAAAACATGTAAAAGTTTAATTAATGCAATAAAAAGTAGAGTGGCGCAGATTTGGACCAGGGACCGACCACATGACAAGCGAGAACTCTGCCTCTGAGCTAAGCCCTGCCGTAGCGCCTATGCCATGTTTTACTTTACTTGAAAACCTACTTCTCTATTGCTTGTAACGGCGTTGCAATTATTTGTTACATCAATAAACGTTTAGGCTTATTATTCATGGTTTGTAGACTCAAAATTAGAATATCACCAAATGGTTTTCAACCCAAATATTCTTATGCATTCGAATATTTGAAAACATAGGTTAGGGTACTTGAAAACGTTCCAAACAAAATGTCCTTAGACGATTTAATTACATTCAAAATTTGAGCCTTATTTTCTTTAATCATAGCAAGCTAAATTTTATATGTCAGAATAAAACAAAAACCATACAAATTGTGTGAATGCGGCAGCAACAGATCAACTTGTTTACCCAACTCTGTTGAGCGCCGCAACTAGGCCTACAACCGGCTACTACAATCACCGTGTTGATTGCAGCGACGCGACGCCGCGCCGCGCCGTCGGCGGGCTCATTGATGAACATAAATAATAGCGTTTTGATAAATAATATGTGATTGTTTTACTTATGTGTCTATATAGTTATTAATTTAAAGAAAACACTGCGTTTCTACAACTATTTACTTTTTGTATCAAATGAAAACAAAATTAAATCCCTTTATGAATGGTTTGAAAACCCGTGATTGAGGTTAGAAATTTGTTTTGAGAATTTACCTTGTAAAGTTGGTCACGTGACTAGTAGTTTTGGTCACGTGACTAGTAAAATACACTAGTATTTACTAGCGGTATAAAAACGTTTATGAAACACAAATTAGTAGGACAGGTAAATACGGGACTAGTAATTACTAGACTAGTATTTTTATGAAACAGGGCCCTGTTCAATCTTATTTTCTCCTTGTGTTACAAACTTAATCCAAAGGGTTGAATAAAAACAATATGTAAGGGTAACGTTTTTGCTGATTTACTCAGAACAATTGATTTTTTATTCTAGGTGGATCAAAAACTCTTTGTATCGACAGTTTGGCCGTTGCTGTCCCTAGAAGTGCGACCTGGGCCGGACCAGCCTCTATTGCTGTATCACTGTTTGCTTGTTTGTGAGGAGCGTTTTCCGTCCGTAGTCAACACAAAGTACCTCAACAAAACTCTGAACTCAGCCACTGTTCTCAGTCAAAAAACAGTTCATGGCTTATTGGAAGGGTTGAAGGTATGATCAATCAAATTATTTTTTCAAACTATTAATCAAACTATTATTCTCTTGAAAATATGTAAATTAATACATAAATCTTGTAATGCTATTAAACAGTTTGTGCTTATCCTTCTGGACTCATCTCATTTTGCATTTGAATTATTTATAGGACTAGTACCTTAGCAAAGTTTACTATGTCAAATATGGGCCCATCCTAAGCATTTGTTTGGTCCTAGCTCCTCCTAGATTTATGACGTTGTTTGTAAAAAAATTGATTAAAATCCCAACTTAACAATTGAAATAACTGAAAGAAGTTATTACCATAACTTAGGCTATAGGCCCAATCTTTTCCAAAACCAAATTGTTCAAGGTTTTTTTTCAAACTAACCTTGATTTATAAACAAGATGCCTATCGAATAAAATAAATTCTTCTTCTTTTTTCTAGAGCGAGTTCTGGCTGAAAAATTTAGACCACCCTGCATATCTGGACATTTTCAAGTATATTGTATCTTCTGGAGATATTTTGACCAGTTTTTGGGAAGAAATTGAGAAAGAACTCCTTGTAGAAACCGCATCAGGCTACAACAAGCCAATTGCAGCAATCAAGATTTTTAGTACATTGGTCGCTCAATTGCAAGATGCTTCTCAGGTAGGTCCAACTTGTTTTTTATTTTTATTTTGTATTTTTCTTCATCAATCGTAAGTTTTAACGTAAATTGTAAGAATCGTCCTACCTTAATCTTGGAATGATGACCTTTTGAGTGTCATAAATTGATAGCCTAATGATAATAGTAATCTGGTTGCTCTTAATTTGAACCAAGATTTGTTTCAAACTAAATTTATATATATATAAAAAAAAAAAACAATCCAGAGCAAGTGGCAATATTGTGAACACCAATGTCTCCTACAATTACAACAAAATATTCTTGGTCTGGCATCTTTGCAGACGTTTTCTGCTATACATACCGGTACAAAAAATATTTCTGACTGAAACTTATACCTCAGGCCAACTGTTGGCCCATCCTGGCCCAAATATCAGCAACTTGCAGTATCCTAGACTATTAAGTACTAATGCTACCACTCCGTGCACTTTGAATCATTCTGTCATAAAATAATTAGAAAACACCTCTGTACATACAAGGATATTAGTAAGAAAATCGAAACCAACTAGGCCTAAATTTATTGTTTGATTAACTGATGGTATGTTTCCCAAATACATTTCAATATCATTTCCTCATCCACCATTATTTTAAACAAAAATTTTTATAGGTTCTTCCCTTGTTGACACCCAAACTTCTGGGTTGGTTCATGAAAAAGTTCCGATCTACAGGATTGCGGTTGAAACACCTTCACAAGGTCATCAAAGATGCACTAAACAATCTCATGACCCTCTGCAGCAAGAGCAAGTCCTCCAAGACGTCGTACGCTGTTCTGAAGAAGGTCATATTCAACCCCGGAAGCCTTCTGTTTGACCAACTGTCAGGTTTGTCAATGCTATCTCATCATTCAAACATAATTTTTCTTCTATATCAGCGTAGCCACAGACCGGGTAAGTAGGGAATTATGCATGAACTATGTTGCGGGAATTATGTTGCGGGAATTATGTTGTAATGTGAAAAAAAGGAACCTTTCCGCGCGGAAATTTTAATATTTCTTGGGCTGCGGTCACAATTTTTAATGGTCACAGCAAAATGGGAAACATTGTGTCAACATTAAAATCATGATGTCTTCCTTCCATTCTTTAGTATCAGTTATTTACTTAAAAATGTAATGCTTACTTAAGCAAAAAAAAACATTGATTTTGGCAATTCTTTCAAATTTGAACTTGGTTAGAGAGTCTGCTGATCTTGTTCATTAAAAAGGATCCTCGGAGCATTACCATTTTATTATTCTACCATGGTCTACACTTTTTTGGGATGAGTTTATAAGATTGATGAGTAACAACAAAAGTAATAGGCCTATTGTGTAATATTGTAGTAAAATACAGAATGCAAAATAATGATAAATGAAAATAAATGGTATCAACAATAAAATATTTTATTTATAAATTTTAACTATTTTCTTCATCAATACATCACCTGGACAAAGTTTACAATTTAGAAAAATATAAAGTTGATGTCCTTGACTCCAGCTACACTAACTCCGCAATGCTTGAGTTGAAAACAGCAATTCTTGCTGTATAAAAATGTTTGTTTGGATTTATTTAATTATCTATAGTTATTGTTAATTTAACAGGTACAAAGGTTGTTGCACAGCTGGTTGGCCAGCTGAAGGAGAAACAAATACAGAAGTTGGTTGAGGTTTTGAGGGACGTGATCACAGGCTCGAGGATGGCTGTGGAGTATAAAGGGAAGGACGAGACTACAAGAGCATGGACCAACAAGGAAAAGCTGTATACTGTCCATCTTCTCTGTAGGTGAGTAATGCAGTGGTGTGAAAACTGAAAATAGGTTTTTGTTTCAAACAAGCAAAGTGTATAGGCTAAAAAATATTTTAACGTCGGAAGTAGGTAATTTATATCAGCTGATTTAAAAAAAACAAATTCTTTATTAGGCCTATTCTAAACTTTGGTACATTAGACGCTTTCTAAGCTAGCATGTTTGGAACTGTCTGATTACCAAAAATGCCGAACTAGTGATCGCTGTCTGAAATAATGCAATTGTAAGGATAGAAAAAAATCTAGAAAATAAGTATTAGGCTATTTTTTTTTTAGTATGACCAACCTCTTTAAATTGCCTGTGAACTTTTATTCATTGTAGAAGACAACCCTCAGACTAATGTCAGATTATTGAATGTAGGATTAGAGGGGTGTTTATTCCTAATTACTCCTATTATAACTGTTCAAAACTTTTGTAAGTCTCAGCATCTTGTAAAATAGCATCACTTATTGTGTTGAGAGCAGGTATTGAACATTTAAATAATCTCTTTTATTATTCTATTTCACTAACACGTTCGCTGCTTCGGACGATCCGGAATGTCAGCCGGGCCATGGCGCCGGGAGCTAGGAACGTTCCGGAACGTTACCGTTCATCGTTGCTTAACGTTTCCATGGATCAGATAGCTCGTCACGAGCGTCCTATATTTCTTTGCAGCTCGTGGGGACGTACTTTTCTGACGATAAAAAATATATTTTCCCAAAATCACCTCCAAGGGTCGTTTAGAACAGGGCTTTGTTCCACCTCTTTCCTGCTAGATAGCGACACTACTTTACCTACTGCAACCTGGGTAGTACTGCACTGCTATCTATCAGAATCACTTAGTACTATGTCCAAAGCCAGTATTATTGCAGAAAATTGCCATCCAGTATAACTACTGTTGTTTTTACTGTAATTTAGTGTATCGGCGGCAATGTTACGCAGTGGCGAGCGTTAGTTCAGCTCCTGGCTCCGTCCCGGCATCTAGCGGTCACCAGCGAACCAAAATTATCAGGTTAAATTTTTTCTAGCCACCAAAAATGTCATTGTATTTTTTCTGACTTGTACCTTATACAATCAAATTTCAGACAACTCAGTAGGCTACATAGCATTTGTATTATAACTTTGCTGATAATTTTTGTTTGATCTTTAGACTTATTTACAACCCATCAATGCAGAATAATCTTGCTTGGAGACTGGAACAGCTGACATTCTTGTTTGACATGGGTTTCTTCCCAACATTCAATATTGGTGTGGAATTAGCTGGTGAGTTTACCCTGTGAATATGTAAAATAATAGTTATCCATATTTTACTGGCAAAGGTAGGCTAAACAAACAGGATATTTAAAGGTTGATTTTATGTGTTATTGAATCAGGTTTCGGTTCTCACTGTATTTATTTTGTGTGTTTTCTATGTCAGTTTTTACGTTGAAACGGTCCAAACCCTGGTCTTACTACTATTTCCCTAACACCATCTTTTTGGATTAGATAGCATCATTAATTTATAGCCCAATGATATAATGGCATCTGAGTCTAGAGACGATATTGCTTCGAATGGAACCAGCGACCTTCAGATTTTAAGGCAAGAACTATAACCAGTCAAATGCCTAGATTTCAAATCTTTTTTCTTAGAATTACAAATTTTTGTCTGATTTAGTACATTTGTTGATTAATTATACTTATGAATACACGTACACAATATACACTTTGGTTATTTAAGTCACCAGTGATATATGTGTTGTACAGAAAAAAAAGATTAATTTGAACTATTTAATTCTGTGTGTTTCTTTGCACTACCTTCAAATTTTTTTGCACAACTTTTTATTAAACCATACCTTAATTTTTACATTATACCTTTAAAATAAAACGTAATATATTTGGCAATCTATTTTGCCATTGCTAGACTGACTGAGGAGATATTATTTGCATTCTTGTACAACCATACTAAATTTGAAATTATTTTTCAGGCTCCATAAGAGAAAGCTTCTTCAACAGCTTCAACCAGAAATGTTCAAACATTGACGACTTCCAACAGATTTTATCTGGAGTTGTAGAACACATCAACAAACGTCTCAGCAAAGGAGATCAGCTTAGGATAAAAGTCCCGGCTGAGGTATTGTTGGTTCTGATTTGATTTGCTGTAAAATACCTCTGCAGCTTTTGGCAAATTATAATATAGGCTAACAACATTACACACATATATATTTTTCCTACAGTCACCCGACAAAGTTTGCTTCCTTGTACTGTTTATAGTACAGAAAGCTGCTAATTGCTGCATATTTATACTTTGCCGTACGGTTTATACTTTGTCGTACGGTTTATACTTTGCCGAACATCAGGATTCCAACGAAACAACACAAAAAAGCGTGGTTCTATTATGCACGTAATCCGTGCACGCTTGGAAATAGGTTGGCAACACTTAAAGATAATAATACTATGAGCAGCTGATTGACTATTATAACTACGATTTAACTTGTCATTTCGTGTTTATAGTTTCGGTATTTCTGAACTTTCTGGACTTTTCTTTTAAACGTTTTTAAAACATTCCTACGATCTTAATAAACAAGAAAATACCTTTGAAGCATTTTTTTTGGCGAGGAAACCATTTCAAATTACAAAAACATACGGAACTATATTCTCAAAACGCGGAGCACATTTCTTGCCGAGGAAAAATAGCGGAGTGATACGGACCGCGGGTACTACTTTCTCTAGGGCACCATTTGTGTTGCCAGCTGAACCTCTAGTCACCACTAGTTACACAAATAACTATTTCCTACAGTCACCCGAGAAAGTTGGCTTCCCTGTACTGTTTATAGTACAGAAAGCTGCTAATTGCTGCATATTTATACTTTGCCGTACGGTTTATACTTTGCCGTATGGTTTATACTTTGCCGCACATCAGGATTCCAACCAAACAACACAAAACAGCGTGGTTTTATTATGCACGTAATCCGTGTACGCTTGGAAATAGGTTGGCAACACTTAAAGATAATAATACTAACATCAGCTGACTGACTAACCTTTCATTTCGCGTTTATAGTTGTTGTCCTATTTTCGTTCAACGCTTGGTTAGTCTTAGAACATAACCTATTTCATCCTATTTAAAAATATAATTAAGTGAAAAGCGGTATTAACATGAACGAACAAAGTGAAAGTGATACGGAATATATTTTTGGCACACCGGAAGAAATAGCAGAAACTGCTAAGAACGTAAGTTTGAATTTGTTACCTGACAAATCAAAAAAAAGGTACGAAAAAGCCTATGACCAGTTTTCATCATGGTGCGCCGGTAAGAAAGTACCGGTAACAAAAGTATCAGAAAATGTATTATTGGCATATTTTGCAGAACAATCAAAAGTGATTAAGTCTTCAACTATTTGGAGCATTTATTCTATGCTCAAGAAAACAATCCAAGTTAAACATGATGTAAACATAAGCAACTACAAAAAACTTATAGCCTTTTTGAAAAAACTGTCTGTAGGCTATGAGCCTAAAAAGTCAATGACGTTGTCAAAAGATGAGGTTGAAACCTTTATTAAAACTGCTCCTGATGAAACTTGCTTATTGAAGAAGGTAGTTTTAATACTAGGAATAGCTGGAGCATGTCGGCGAGACGAGCTCGTTAAAATGTCGGTAGATGACATAGATGATAAAGGTTCAATTTTAATAGTTAAAATACCAGACTCAAAAACCAACAGAAGCCGCGTCTTCACTGTAACGGACGACGATACGGACTGACACTGGACACTGTTTTAGACGCACTTCAGCAACATTGTTAGTTGAAGCAGGAGGAAACATGACACAGTTAAAGCGTCACGGAGGCTGGAAAAGCTCAACAGTAGCCGAAGGCTACATCGACGATTCTATTAGCGGAAAGATTGCAACTGGACAACTGATTTTAGGAAAGAAACAGTCACCAGAAAATGCACCTGTACTAGGCCTACAACAGACTAATCAACTCGAAGAACATTCCGAAGTGTCCTCTGCATCGGGATTAGTTTTGTCGGGCAAATTTGAAAACTGTACATTCAACATTAACATCACAAACAATAAATAAATTGAGTTCACATTTTCATTAGGGCCTAACTTATGTTTGTTAAATTCCAAGTTCTGATTTTTATTTGTCAACATACTAAGAATTTCATTCCAGTTTTCATTAGTTATTGTTAATTTGCTTGTTGTTGGTTTGAAAAGTGTTAAAACTGTTTAATAAAAATTACCTGTTTACTTAGGCCTACTTGTTTATTCTGTTTATAAGTTAAGTTTAGGCCTACTGATTATTGCCGTTTTGGCTTCTGATTTGGCTATAATGAAGGTTTACTAATCAAAATAAAATAAGGTAGTTCTGTTCATAAAATAAAACTATAAATGCCTCAAATTCAATTTTATATTTTTTATTATAAATTAAACTAGCCTAACTTATAATAGCCTAACTTATAATAGCCTAACCAAACTTGCTGACAATGTAAAAATCGAATGAAGGTTTAATTAATCGAAAAAATAGTTAACTTATGTTTATAAAATAAAACTATAAATGGCTCTAAATCATTTTTATAATGTTTTAATTATAACATCAAACTGTCATAACTTAGCCAAACTTGCTGATAACAAAAAATCTTAGACAAAAAGAAAGTGCAACTGAGAGGATTCGAACCCGGTCCTACAGATTGCCAGCTCAACACGCTAACCAGTAGACCACCGAATCACTTGGTCTCTTACTGAATCGTTGCGGTAATGATCTTCCCTCAAGGCCAAGCCAATCAAAATACTGCATTCGTCCTATACGCCAGGAACTCCAATTGAAATAAAAATTATGCTTCCCATCCCGCATATACGACGTGTACTCAACACTTAATGATACTACGACTACAATCAGCTGGTGCAGTTTTTACTAATCCGTTCAACGCTTGGGTTTAACCTAACCTAAAAACGTGTTGAATATTGTTTGAAAGGCTAATTATTTAAGTTATAGGTATGCTTTATAGTGACTGTAGGAAAAAATATAATGTGTAACACGAGTGAAAAAGGCCTTTGCTGCACTCGAGATCATTCCATCGCGAGATCATTTCATTCATTTCATTTCGAGATCATTTCATTGTAAACATTGCTCTCGTGTGCAGCAAAGTGCCACTTTCACCACTAGTTACACAAATAACTATTCATTACAAATGATTTGATGGAATAATTCCCACAATTCTTTAATAAAAAAAAAAAAATCATTATTTCAAGTTGATGCCCTTAACGTTCTTCCATTTATTTAATAATACTAATTGATAGAAACTACATCTGTGCTGTCTCATAATGTTCTTTATTTAATTAAAAGAGCCGTTAATAGTAAGAAAGTATAAAATTGCAGTTTTGAAGGTTCAAGACAGTTGAGGAATTTCAAAGTGTGTGAATAAAAAGATTTAATTTTAAATTTGGTCATAAAAAATAACAAATATTTAAACTTTATATGTACCGGTACTAAATATTACATTACATTTTAAAATGACTAACTAGTACAGTAACTATAATAAGTAAGACTGCTGAGGAAAATTAAAAATAAAACACAATATTAACCTGGAGGAATTAGTGTAAATCCCAAAATTTGTGATTTTTGATTAACAAAACTTAAGCAAGATTGAGACTGATAAGTACAGTTTTCCTTGATTGAAAACATTTGTTTCAGGTTTTACCAGCATGGAACAAAATGTACTCAGTCGCCAAACAACTTGAAAGCAAAAAACACAAGAAAGATAAGTTGTGGCTACCAAAGGTGTTTCAAACTATGTTCTTCCACATCGGGCTTCATCTGTTTAAAGAGGCTTCATTTGCTAAGGACGTTCTTGAGGTAAATACATTGTTGTTGCCAGAGAGTTTAGCGGTGGGGCACACGGAAGATTTCTCAGGTGCCGTTTGACGTCACTAACTGCTGCGTCTGAAGAAACAGACAATTTTATAATTTTTCTATTATTAAATTAAACTGTCATAACCTAACCAAACTAACCAAACGTGCTGATAATGAAAAAATCGAATGAAGTTTTACTAATCTAAAAAATAGTTTTGTTCATAAAATAAAATTATAAATGCCTAAAATCCAATTTTATAATTTTTTAATTATAAAATTAAACTGTCATAACCTAACCAAACCAACCAAACTTGCTGATATGAAAAAAATTGTTGACAAAAAGTTAGTGCTACCAGCGGGATTCGAACCCGGTACATTCGGATTATCAGCCCGTCACGCTATCCACTACACCACCGAGGCCGATGGCTCAAAACCGTATCATTGCGGTAATGGTGTTCCCTCAAAGTGACGTCAGCAGTTAGTGACGTCAAACGGCACCTGAGAAATCTTCCGTTTGCCGTTTTGGAGAGATTAGATGTTGAACACCTGTGCTGTAGACCTGTGTTAAGCCTGGACTGATTAAAACCAATAATTGATAAAACTTGATGTCATCATAAGAATAAAATCTTTGCCAACTTTACTAACTTGTTCCTGTGAAATATATTGCAATATAATTACTAAGAGTGTCGGTGAGACTGATTGTACAATGTTTTGACTTAGGATTTTATATTGATTATACATTTTTGAACTAATTTCTTGTAAAACATTTGGTTGCCCAATTTTCTAGTTGTTACATGTACTGGTGAATTTTTGTTTTACATTCTTAGTTGATGATGCCATTCTGTAAGTGAGGTATTTACTGCATAATATGAAATTTACAGTGAAAGCTTTCTTATTGGTGGCCCTTATGTCCTTATTGGTGGTAATTCAATTTTTTCTCTTGTAAATTTATATTTTAAGTTTTACCATGGATAAAATATACACCCTTAGTAGATTTCTCATCCTTATCGATCAGCTGAAGACAATTTTGTTGTTAGGTCTGTCCGGTGTACTGTAGAGGTTGTGTTTTGTTTACAATTTGTTTCTTGTTATTTCAGTACCGTAATTTAAAACCTCGTTTAACCAAATAAAACAATCTAATCATAAATAATAACTTGTCCCCTAGTTAAATAGCCAAACAGTAAAGCACAAATCATTAAATTAACCCTAAAATAAAAGAAACAAAATTTTGTCGAGAGATCAGTGTCACCGGACGTGAACTAGACACGATAAACAAGCTTCCAAATGTACAATAGGATGAGAAGTCTACTTCTGGTTAGTCTATGGTTTTACTATTGACTATTGGATAATGGATACCCTACTGAAGTAGATATCCCCATCCTATATAGATCAGCTGTTGCCATTTTTTTAATAAAAATGAACCTAGTTGAGAGATCTAGTTATAGAATGTGTTAGTGTTTGAAATTCTAGTGTCTACCTTATTTTGTTTTGCTTACATAGTTTATGGGTCATAAGTGTTGCTATAGCTCACATAAGTCGTTCTAATCTATCAGTTTGATTGGTTAAAACTTTGTGTAATCAACAAAAAACAGTTATTTACATGAGCACAATTATTGGTGGCTCACATAAACTACAACGGTTTTGATTAAAAAACTGGTGAAATGTGCACTGCATATCAATTAGCTTTTTTCACAATACCTTGTCATTTACCTAGGGTTCAAGTTACAAGAATATTTAAGAAAATATAGCTTACTCTGAGAATAAATTACAACAGCAATCATAAGTCTCATTGAATATTAAACAACGGCTAAATTAAATATTCAAAGATAAATTGATGGCTGTAACTGATACTTATGATGGATGATGTTGCAGGAGTTGCACAGTGTGTATGCCCGTGTGGACAAGACATCCCAGACTGAAGAAGAACCTCACTGGACAGAGGTGGTGATGGAGATGTTTCTGTCGCTTTTGTCTCGTAACAGCCATCGACATTTGCTGTCCTGTATCTTCTCCACATTCTGTCACATCATGACTCCGCAGAACATCCATCAGATACTGCAGGTGACACTTCACATAGTTTACAGGATTGTCTGCAAAGTTATCTGTAATATTTCAAGATAAGGCCTATCTGCTGCCATTATAGTTGTAAAGTTGTCTGGGTCTTATTATGGCATGCAATTACTCTTTTGTACTTTTTAGCCATTGGTAAACTTTAAAGCTCACTCTACATTTTACAGTTTCCAAATATGGACAGCCACTTGTCACATTTTCGTTTGACTCTCAGCTGTACAATCATTGACATAATTAACAAGTGCATCTATGCTTTCATCTGGAATATTGCGTTACAAAACTTACTTTATGTTTTCCAATTTACCTCTCAAGTATTGTTTTCTGGTATCGATAAAAGTAATGTTTTTGTATAGACAGGATAGTATTACCGCTAGTAAACAAGTTTGTCTAACCTTTTATTTATTTATCTGATAAAAAATTAGGGCATTTGCCAGGAATTATTAAGGAAATTTGAAATTTACAGGAAAGCAGGCTTACCTTTAAATAAGTCCATAGAGACACATAAAACATCACAAAAGTGGACTTTGATTTATTTACATTTCCAACTATTTTCATGATAATGATCTTCTGGCCTGGTATGGTCGTACGCAATGGTTATGAATGGTTCCTTTGCAATATTGTCATTCATACTGTGCTACTTAATTTATAGCTGCGTTCACACAAAGCCAGTCATCAGGCAGTTTACCTGCCTCAGTTAAATCAAAATACAAAAGGCAAGTAACCTGACTACCTACTGGCCTCGTTTTAACGCAGCTTAAAGAGAGCACTAATCTATGATAGTTATAAAACTTACCAAAGTCAACTTCGGCCCAATTCAGAGGTTGTTCTGGAAATTCTATGTGTTTAAACATTTAACTAATACATTATCTATTGCAGGTTCTGGACCCGGCCAACAACACCAACCCACTGTTGGACCAGCTCGATTCAGATTCAGAAAGTAGTGGGGAGGAAGAAGAAAGTGGGGAAGAAGAAGTGGATGATAAGGAGGAGGAGGAGAGCTCTGATGATGGGATGACTGATGGTGATGATGATATGGAGGAAGACATGGAGGAAAAAGTTAACGACAAACTGAGAAGGGCTGTGATAGAGGCTTTGGGTGACACTGGGGCAATGACTGATACGGTGGGTATTTTGCTACTATTTTTGTGAATAACTATTAACCCTTCGAGTGTTAAGCGTCGCAAAAGCGAAGCACAACACACCCGCTGTGGTGTTATGCGTCGCTTTTGTGACTCACAACCATCGTTTACGGCAAAGGCTCTAGAACTGAATGAATCAGATTGAACTGGATCGAGATTGGTATCGTTGTTTTTGGCAGATTCTAAGCTTTACCCTGATGTCTGTTTCTAGACGCTTTTTATTTTAGTTCCGATTATATTGTAGCAGACAGATGAAGTGCGTATTTGTAAACAACTTGGTTAACCTCACATCGATGACTGATGTGTTTGATTAGGTTTATCATTTTTTTAGTGTTAAAAATAAAAAGTAGTGATATACGTGGTGCATTATAAGAAGATTAAAGTAATTTTGAAGGGCTGGTTGATGATCCTGAAGAAGTAGGTAGTGATATTGATGTAAATTATCCGCCAGATTCGTAACTATAGTTAGGCTATGCATTCTTAGCTATCGCTAAATGTACGAAATCTGTTTTTCACCCATAACTTATTTATTTGCAAATTTACTTCCTTATATTATTATATTTTGGAATCCTCGTAAAATTTAGAACAAAGTGGCTAGTTTAAAATACTTGTAAAACTATAAATTATAAAAATTTATTGAGCGCAATAAATGGGCCAACATTAAAACCAATACAATGGACACTTGGAGGGTTAATGGTCTAGTGTGACCCTCAGAACAAATTATCATATTTTCATGTTGATATTTTTATCCGTTGTGTCATGTCTATTTTTCACTTAAAGCATCCCTTATACATTTTCAGGAGTCTGTGGACTTGGACAACATGGACGAAAATGAAGCCAAGAGAGTTGATAGAGCTCTAAGCGCAGCTTTTCAAGCGTTCAAGCCATCTAAGAAGAAGAAAGAGTCCTCACATATTAAGGCTTTGGCCCACTTCAGATCAAGGTAATACTGTGAACAGTGTGAACTCAATGAAAAAGGTACCACAATAATTATACTATTATGTATCAATACTGTTACCATAGGCCTATAGTTAAGGGTCCACAAAGTTATCATGTTCATGTTAGGCTATTATCCTTTTACAATTCTGTGATGTTTGGTTTCAGAGTGTTAGACTTGATAGAGATTTGGATGTTGAGGGTAGAGAAGCCTCCCCTGGACCTGACAGTGGATGTGTTACTGAGGCTGATGTCACTGTTGGAACACTCACTGGTGGACAAACATCAGTCTCAGCTGGAGACTAGAGTCAGGTTGGTACAGCTAGACCTTATTAACAGTTTTACCACTTGTAGCCCATGGGTTGATGGTGATAAACTCCACCATCAACCTATGGTTCATATTTAACCAGATGAGGTCCTGCTTATAGGGTGTTTGAGTAACCTTTAAGCTAGTATTCCCATGTCTAGGATTCTGGAAGATTAACATAAGTGTTTGCAGATTATGATGGCTACAGTGCTGAAAGGTGTTCTGAGTTCTTCTCAGCTGAATTCTTAGGAATGTCCAAATTGCTTCACCGTCTTGTAATGTGCTTAAGAGTCCTTGGAGCCTAGATGTTCTAACTCGTTAAGCAATTAAAAAACTACAAAGAAAATTTCTAATCTCACAGTATACTAGATATTTAAATTACAATCACACTGGTGTTTGAAAAAAATATTTTGAGATGGTAAATAACTCTTCAGTGGCTGTTTGAAATTAACAAAATTAACATTGCTCTTAGGGCAGGCGAATCCAAGATGGACGCTAACGCTAGCTTCCATGGACTCCCTTGTAGAACAATTCAAAACTACAAAGAACTCTAATCTCACAGTATACTAGATATTTAAATTATGATCACTTTGGTATTTAAAAAACAGACAGTAAATAACCCTTCAGCGGCTGTTTGAAATCATCGAAGATGGCCGCTAGCTTCTAAGGACTCTTAAGGACTGCAGCTTTAAGCTGCGTTTGCACGAGACCAGTAGAGCAGGCAGGTTACTTGCCTCTAATGTATTTCAAGTTACCTGAGGCAAGGAACCAACTGGCTTCGTGTAAAAGCAGCTTAAAGAAAATAAAAGGTCACAACGATCCAACCTGTCAATGATTTGCTAGCCAACTTCACGATTTTGCTGCATAGTAGAGTTTACTGTGTAGAAAAATCTTAGTGACTTGCATTTTATGAAATAGGTTTGAACAGGTTTAAATCCAAAAAAATTCTTACTGAACTAGAGTAAATTCGCCCTGTTATTCATTTTTTGGTTCTAGAATCTAGATAGCTTTACTGTCTGATTAAAGAAGTTAAATCGATTCTCTAATATTTTTTTGCAGGTCTGTAATAAAGAAGTTTACAGGATCCATGTCAAAAAAATCCTTCGACATTGAGGATTGCAAATCCCTTCATTTGGGAAACATTCTGAAGAGTCTTCTGGACAAGGGAGAACGAAGTAAGTTAACATTAACAAATCTACTGCAGTTGTAGTAGGGTGATGTGCACCAGTGAATATACCTTTAAACTTTAACTGCCTTCTAGAAAATAGGCTTTTAAGTTTAAGCTACAGTGTAGAGAATACTTTGTAATAATGGTGTACACCTTAATGGTTCATATTCTGTTGTACATCCTAATGATAGAAGTTAATGTATTAAGTTCAAACAAAGTGTAAAAAATACAATTTTATCGCACATAAAACATTGCACCAGTGAATTAATTAATTTTTGTATTTAACAGTGGCAACAATATTAATTTTTTCCATTAACAGAGAGCTTTTGTTACAGCGACAACAGTGTACATGAGTGTTCACCAGGAGTTGATTGACATCACTATGTTCATAGTGAAAGTGTCACAACAGTTGCCCAGTGAAGATGATACCAACACTGAGGGTGAGGAGAACCCCTCGGTGTATACTGTACTGAAGGATGCAATGAACAGCTACTTCACACAAAGGTGAGACTAACTTGCAGTCAGTAACTTACTTACTTACTGGTCATTTGTACCCCAAGTGTTACTTGGCCTCGCCAACACACTGCCTCTACGTCGTTCTGTCTCTTGCGGTATCTTCATTGACTTCCATCCTGGCCATTACTTCATCAGTCCATCGTTTCTTCGGTCACCCTTGTGGTCATCTCCCCAGTGGATCACTTTTCCATATTTTATGTAATGTGCTAGTTTCCTCTCTTCTAATGATGTGGCCCGTCCAGTGAAGCCTTCTGCTTTTAGCCTCTGCGATTATATCAGGTCTCTTACTTACTGATTATGCTAAGTCAGTAACTTAGCTTACAAAATATTTTTCCATCCTCCACAGCAAGGTTATGGAATTCAATGTGTTTAAAACAGTTGTACAGTGCTACAAAATTGTGTCACTGTGTAATTTCATTGTTGACCTTATCAATTATTTTAATCCAGAAGAAAAACTGTTCATACATTTAGCTTAATTTTAATATTTGTAAACAGTATCAATGAAACTTAGACAAACCATTTCCAATGAGATCTTAAAACAAGTATTTTCTTAACTTTTGCTATGAAAAACCCGTAATTCTGGGAGAACTGCATTAATTTTCAGACTATGTTTTATGGATTAAAATAATGTGCCTCATAGATTTACCGTGCTCATGGATCGACTAGGTATATTTTGGTTGGAAAATGCATAAATGTAGTAATTTTTGTTCCTCCTCTATTTGTTATTTTACAAATTTTAAAGCTACACAATAAGGATCTATTTGTAAACTAGTGCTTCTCTTTTAGCATTTTTACCAATAATAAAATGTAGTGCAGTAAAATTTACCCTCAATTAAAAAAGAAATATTGAGTCAACATCAATACTGTAATAATCATTCACAAACAACTAAACACACATTACTACAGTGATTTAGATTTTACTAGATATTTCTAAAAGCCGTTCCATTCTCAACGGGGAGACTGTTTGTTTTGTTAATGCAGTTTTATCTAAAGTTGTCTCACAAAAATGCTTGTTTCAGGGACAATCTGATTCCAATGAAACTGTTCGCTGGGCTGTTTTCTCTTAACATACCTTTCCTCAGCCACTTGACATCAAAACTCCCAGCGTACGCCTTCGACTCCAATGTTCCCCCCTACAGACAATCAAAGGCGGTAGAGTACCTAATTTTGTTCTGGAAAAATAATCGCATTGTCAATGAACCAAGTGAGGAGCTTTTGGAAAGGCTGAAGAAGACGTCAAGAAAACTATACAAGGCTTCAGTCAAGGTTTGTGTGGATTTTTTATTGCTTCAGTTTCAATACTTGAGTTTATAAATGAAGTGAGATTAGCTTTTGATGTGTACAGGTGTGTAGGTTATATCCCTACTCGTTTCTTATCACACAAAAACAGGATAAAAACTATTCACAATGTTCAGTCAAGTTGTCTGTATTTTTGTATAATTTTAAATGTATTTATTCCTAACAGTCTATCTGTGATTCTCATCACATGACCGTATGCAAATTTCCATTGTTTTTTTCATCGCGAATCACCTCTCATACAAACATAAACGTAATTTTTCTCTTGTAAATTAAACCTCTTTTGTACCAAAACCCTCGATTTTTCCTCTTATATTATAATTACACCACACACATAACAAAAACAAGATTGTAGGTATGCTTTTCTTCAAAAGGTTTTAAAAAATAGTGTTTTATTTGGATTTATTAAGGACACCACACTCATGAACTATTTTTGAGGTTTTTGTTTGTGTTATTTTCACGAAGCAAATCTTAAATAAATTTGTCGATACTGTATCAGTTTTACTACTTTAGTTCTATTTAATTATTTCCAGAAACTTAATAAATGAACCGATCATTTAAATTATATCTAGAACTAGCTGTAACCCGCGGGCTTTGCCCCGTTTAACTTCTTAATTTTCAAGATGATCTCGTTCGCATGGCTCAATCACATCCTGACATCCTAGTTGAAGTTTGTTTGCTACGCTCACTCACTTTTAAGTTAGAGCTCGTTCGCTGCGCTCACTTGCCTTCAGGTTAGCTCGTTTGCTACGCTAACTCGCCTCCAGGTTGAAGTTTGTTCGCTACGCTCACTCACCTTTTGGTTGCAAATTAATTAGCTGTTGTCATAAATGTAAAAGAAATAATAGTGCTGCACCCTGTTGGTAATCCTTGTAACTTTAATGCTATTGAACATCATAGAACAGAACCAACTTGTTTAATTGAAACAGCTGTTAAGATTCATTAATTCCATTTAAATATGAGTACTCATAAGGTTAACATGGGAAACTCCAGAGCCACTGGGGCGGAGCCCAGAGGTCGGAGGGTAAAATCCTTTCTTTGTGAGCGTCTACTACCCAAAAGGAAGATGCCTGCCAAGTTTCAGGTTCCTAGGTCTTATGGTTTCTGAGATTTTGTGATGAGTGATTCAGTGGTATTTGAGCTTTATATAGATAGATAGTTGTAACTCTAATTCAAATCCAAGTTTTTGTAGAGAGAGAAGAGTTTTAATAAATATCTAATAAAATAACACATTGAAACTTTAAGAGAAGGAGGATTTTATGTTACTCTAACGTTTTAACATTTTACTATATAAAATCTACTAATTATAAATCAGCCCCATAGAGTTGATTAGTAAATAAAATTAATGCATCACACTTGTAAAAATATTGTCTGAAATGGTAACCAAATATGCCAATAATATTCAATTATTCAAAATTGTTTCTATAATAGAAGAGTTGAAAGGATTTCTCAATTTATAAATGCATAATTTTGCTTTAGATGATTGAAGAACCTAAAGGCAGAGTTCAGGACAAGTTTTTGAACGAATTGAAGACAGCATTTAAGATCATTCAAAAGAAAAATTGGTTAAGTGACATAGATCTGGAGCAGCATATGGAAAACCTCAAGGAATTTCATCAAGTCATCATAAAAACGTGAGTATGCTTCTTGTTTTCTGTCATTGTTTGTATAATACATATTAAATCATATCCCTATTAGTATTTGTATAAGTCCTTTTCTAATGCAACAGTTGAAAAAGAACAGCTTTAGGTAAAAACTACAAATCATTGAAGTTTGATAAAGCTAACTTTTATCAACAATATGGTTACGTCTCTACCCTTGGTACACATTAGAAGGTTATTTTACTGAACCTTAATTTACTGTTTGTGTAGCCTAAGCGTTACCATTTATAAAATTCTCTTTGATTAAATGGAACAACAGAAGGTTGTTATGAGGTTGTAAAATAAAATGGAGACGTCTTTGAAATACCTTTATCACTAATACCGAAACCCTACCCAGGCTGACGCTAACCGAAGCCCCCAGTCTGTGAGACCCCGCTTTGAAATACACTAACACTGGGCTTCTGAGAGAGGCATGTTGAACAGACAACCTGTCAAGGTCACGGCACCTACCCAAAATGAACAAAAAATATATCAACAGGTAAACTAGGAAAATGTGGGAAGGTATTGGGGGAATGGAACCTCCCAAGTGGGTCCCAAGTAAACAGTTTTGCCAACATGTGTTTTTGAAAATTCCCGTGGGCCTGTCAGACCAGGGTTTCGGTATAAGTGTTAATACAGGTCGCATCATAATTTGACTATAAGGTTACAATTAATATATTCTGGTTTTGTTTCACAGAAGGAAAATAAACAGCCAAAAAACTGTACCTGCTGATGAACCAATGGAGGTTGAAAGTGATAAGAAAAATACGGAGGATGAATCTGAAGCAGAATCAGAAGATGAAAGTGATGATGACGAAGATGAATCTGACGGTGAAAATGATGAACCTGGAAATAGTAAAGAATCTGCTGATGGCAAAGAGGTGAGCCAAGTAGCTAAGAAAAAGATAAATTCAGGTAAAGAAGATGCTAAGGAAGACAGTGAAAATGCATCTGAAGAAGAAAGCGAAGATGGAACAGAGGAAAGTGAAGAAAGTGAACATGAAGATGGGACTGAAGAAGAGAGTGATGATGAGTCAGCAGAGGACGAAGAAGAAGAAGAGGAAGATAGTGAAGAAACCCTAAGTGAACCAGAAGAGCCGCCAACTAAAAAAGCTAAGAAAAAAGCCGACAAGAAGAAAAGTAGAGAAAAACTAAGACGCATTCAGCTCTTGAAGAACAACTCAAAAAAGCTACGAATGGAATCAATGTCTGAAGGATTAAATGAAAATGTATTTAGCCAATATAGACTTCTTCTTACTAAGAAAACTGCTTCACCTGAAAGATAAAGTAGCAGCAAAAATATATAGTTTGTATAACTAATATTTTGAAAACTTGATGATTCACATTTCGGAAGTTTTCTAATTGGTTAGTTTACTTACCATTGTTTAACGTCTTTGTTGTTTTTGAACTTTGAAAAACAGGTAAAATGTCGTAATGAGATTAGTAGCGCTGTATATACTTTTTTTTATTTATGGAAAATTGGAAAGTAAACTTAATTTTGTCGTAGGCTATAACGGTTTCTGTTTTCTGTGGTGTATTTTAACATGTTTGTTTAGCATATTATATTGTACTATCATAGCAATAAAAATAAGAACAGTGAAGAATGTAAATAAGATCAAGACTTGTATATATATAAGTAAGTTTACTCATGCAGATACTTATTTAACATTTTATGTTTTTATTAACTTCTTTATTAGCATCGTAATTGTTATTAAGTTACCAGAAAGTACAAAAGATATGGCAAATAACACTTGTAATAATATATGTACACTTGCTGAAGTGAATTTGGTTAACAGTATAAGTGTAAATATATTATTACAAGTGTTATTTGACGTATATTTTTGTACTTTCAGGAATTTTTATTAAATAACATAAGCATTACAAAATATGAACTTGAATGGATTCTAGAACATTTCTGTGAGCAATGAAAACCCCAAATAACTTTATTGTCATTTTAAATTACGTTGCCCTTATTTTTTATTTTTAGTACCACAAGCCATGTCCCCTATGGATCTGAAATTAAATTCAAAGTCTACTGATTTTTTCCATGTTGGTAAAGGTAGCATTTTGTCATAGCTGGTTTTGCCATGAATATGAATGCACTATGTTGAGTTTCAGTGCATTAAAAATATTTGATTTGAATTTGATTTAGAATATTGTTGTCTGTTGTATACACTGTTAAAAATCATATTAAGAGTATGGTTGACATTTTATTGTTTTTTTTTCAAGTAGTTTATTGGTAAGAGATTACATTTTAAATTAATAGACACATTTTATTCATATCCTGCCTTAGAACCAGAGTTATTAATTTATCGTTAGCTTAGAACTATAATTATGGAGATTTTTTTACTGTTGTATTTATTTTACATTGTCATTTGAATGTAAAATTGTTTGTAAATAAACTTATTTTAATAACTTATTTGGTATTTTACTCTAAATCGTTTAGTACTGGTAACATAAGAGTGGTAAAAGTGGACCAACTCAACACTGAAGTTTGCAAATATCACTTATTAAAAAATATTATATGATTGTCTTGCTTAGTTTAAGAATTAACTCCTCCGGTACAATCAACTAAAGACAGTGTTCACAAAATTTAGACGGTTGGAGGGGAAGTTCCCCACCACTTTTTTGCTTAATGTATGCTGCAACTGATCAATTGTTTGGTAAAACACAACCGTTGATCTATTGTTTTAAAGAAAGGATCAAGTGGAGGGGATAGATTTCTTCCCCTCGCCTAAAACCGCCTAAATTTTGTAAACGGAGCATAGTCAAGAATGTTGGACTTTGAAAAATTTTTTAAATTTCTAAAGTAATATTTCAGGGATAAGAAACATATTTTGAAGTCAGTTTTCTGATAAAAAACTTTTGGTGCTTATTACTATTGTGTTCTTAGTCTAAAATTGCTGTGAAATAAAAATCATTCATTGAACTAAACTATTTTAATACTAAATATTATTTACACTGTACATTAATGAGAATTATCTGTTTTCTATACAATGACACATCTTTTTACATATAAGGAGTAAATTATTTTCAATTATACTTCTTGAAAGGGTAATTAAATGTCAACTTATGAAGTGACATATTATAAGCAAAATGTTCCTAAATATTTAGTAGCACTGTACTTCTAAAAGGCAAGGTCTCATTAAAATTGTAGTACTGTAGTACTCCCTCTTATTCGGACTCCTCGGGGCTGAGGCTAGTCCGGATAACGGGTTTTCTGGTTAAACCGTCATTCCCAAAGACTCGTTAAAACGGACTGTTTGAATGTATACTGTATACAGTATTTGATTTAAATATAGGAGAGCATTGTATTTAGACACGTGATCACTGGTCTCAAATCTTTTCCACGAGAACAGTCATTTCAGGACTGCCCACTTCCTGCCAAACTAGTCCGGTTAAACTGATGTCCGGTTAAAAGGTGTCCGGATAAGAGAGAGTCTACTGTAGTGTAATATACCTACACATTGTTTACATTTAGATTTTTCTTGAAGTAAAATATAGGAACAACAAAGAACATGATGGCATTGAATTGAACCCCTCAAAGATCAATGACGAAAGTTTCATACCTCACTGTCAAATAAAAACAGATTATTCACAAAGTTATTGTTTCTTACTTATAGCTAGTATTTGGTCAGTTCGGAGGAAAGAGTGTCTGGAAAGGTACAAGATCAGCCATCGAAGTGAGAGTCTGCCGAAAGACTTCTCCCAAAGCCTCACTTAGTGCTGGGCTCAAATCTTTCATAATCTCTTGCCAGTTGTCATTGAGAAAAATGTTCATGTTGTCACCTAAAACATCAATGTTTCATTTTTTATGTATAATTTATTTCCTAGCTTGTAAATGTTTTCTAAATAATAGAATATAACTTGGGCTACCTACTGAAATCCTTAGAACATGATTGACTTTTGATCAAACTATGGCAATCCTATAATTATTTTGTAAACCTTAAGATTTCATTTTAGATTCTACATTCTTTACTTTCAGTTCATAAAAAACTTAAATTGATAAATTAATCCACTATATTTCTCTCAGAACAAAAAAAAACCTTAGACTTGGTAGACACAAATAAAAACATAAAGGTGTGGACACACCATTTCTTCACAAACATGTAGCTGCTCCTCAAAAGTACCTGTGTTTAGAAATAATGTTGAGGTAAATAATATTTTTTTATCCGAACAAACTAAATTTGATCAAAAAAAGTATTGTAGTTTCACGTTCTACCACTTCCAACAACCATTGATTCCAATAACAAGGAACATTTTATTTTTGCTCTGTAAAAATAAATAATAATTTTTATACGTTTGGATGTGATTTTCTCATTTTTATGTGTATTTGTATACTGTCTTCTGTAGATGATTTCCTTCTGTTTTCTGAATAACAATCAATAAAATTTATTTACTGTGAAAAAACCCTGCAAAAATAAAATAAGTGTCACTTACCTAGCAGTCTGTCTCCGTTAAACAAGTTGGTCAGAGAGATGTAGAGTCTGTCCAAAGTGAAAGGAAGAGAATGAGAAGTGATCCTTACGTAGTCTAGACCGTTGGCTTTCCTGTCCAACACCCAGTCATACTTGTACGAGAATCTCACCCCAACTGTAAAACCGCACCCTTTATTACACAAGTACAGCGGACATAATATCGACCATTACAATTAACAACACTTTAATTTAAAATGTAATGTGTGCTATGTCTCAAAAACGTCTGAAAACTTTTTCTGACATGTGCTGCAACATGGAAGTCATGCTGAAAACTATTATGGTTGGCCTTGAGTTTACCAGTGAGGTAGGCCTAAGCCATTGCCAGGGATGTATTTCTCTAATGATGGACTCACGAGTTTCCAAGGACCTCACTTTGGGCCACAAAGGAGTTATTTTTCTCTTGATAAATTAATTTGTATTAGTATTTATTAGATTTATAATTGATTAACCCTGAGCAGATTATTGCTCAGGGGATTTGATTTTTGAACCGATTTTTAATTCTTGGGATCGCTAAGAGTGAAAATGAAGAATTTGCCGTGATTGTGGGAGATGATAATGAAGTCTCTGTGACTGTAAATTATCTTCACTATTTTGTCATGAACGTACCTCAACAATCACAATCTCTGTGACCATGTAAAAATAGATGTAGATGTCGTAAGATATTTTTGCGACCGCAAAAGAGGAAGATTATGTCCCTGCAAACACCGAAAATGTTTTATCATGTTTTTCTCATACATTCTTTAACTATGGCCCTGGTCAGAAGGCAGCCACTATAGAAAGATAAAAGGTTTTGAATTCAATTTTAATAAGGTTTGGTTTCAACTGATGAACAGTTAACCTAAAGGCAAAGCTTGGTAGGAGATTTCCACTTAAAATAAACAGTCAGCTCAGATGAACAGGTGGACTTTAACACGGGTGCCACAGTAACCTTTGTTCCATAGACACTAATTATATTACAAAAATGCATTAGTTGAAAAAAGAAACAAATTGTCATTGCAGCTTAGAATTTCTTTAACAAAAATTAGTTTCAGTCCGAAATAATATTAAAATTGAAGAAAAGTTCTGACATACTGGCGGTAATGTTGGCGTCTCCGTCGCCGAGGATGGGAAGCAGCAGCACTCGACCTGTTACGTTGTATTTGCCTCTTATAAACAGTTTTTCGAGGTAGAAATCCCATTCACAGTGACTATTGTTGAGATCCAGCCTGCAAAACAGAGACTGAGACATTTCAACTGCTTAACTTACTTAATAAAAAATTACATTGCCATATTCAGTTCACATAATTTAGATGAGTTTAGGATCCCTTCCAACTGATCCTATCTTTAAAAAGATGGTTGGTTTACTACAATGTCTATATCAGCTGCAAAATATATATTAAACAAAAAAAGTAGTGAGGGAACATCCCCTCAAACCACCTACTTTTGTGACTGGACTATACTTATGGGTTACATCTTATAAATTGGATTCGAAAGTGAGCTCATCTAAAATTTAAAAATAATTGGAGGGAAAAATTATGATATTTGTTGTAAAACTAATAAATAAAGTACATGTATAATATGGTGCTTTATCCCAATCCAATGTTAATTTGACTGGATTTGATGTAATTTGATGACGTTTAATTTGAAGTTGATTTCACCTAAATTATTGTAGGAGTTAGCTCTAAAAGAAGATAACCTGTGTTTGAAATCAATTTTTTTTTATTTATATAGAATACAGCTGATTGCAGTAAAAAGATTAGAGTGAAAATAGTATATTTCGTTACTAATCCGGAAAAGCGCTCTTTGCCAGTGCAAGATCGTCTCGCACAGAATTTAGATCAAGTACTGGCAAAGAGCTCTTCAGACGAGTATTGAACGGTAAACAGCAGTTTTTAGTACTCTAAATTGTCCGAAAAATCATCGCTTTCTGGTAATTTCATATAACTACAAACCAAGAAACAAACTTTATTCTAGAATCAAGGTTTATTTTATTTAAACAATCATCTTTTGTATTCATCCTCGTATCTGTTACGAGATACTTGAGGTAGCAATTCATTTGAAACTTAACTACCTAACAAGTTTTGGGATAAATTTCCATTTCAGCTAGGTATTATTTTAGAAATCACAAAAACACTAGAAATCACAAAATTGCAATTTCATAATATGCTTCACACGAGTAACACCAATGAGAGAGAGGTCAACTGTGGCCGATGATTTGACAACAATAAAGTCAGCTGTTGCGTCGCGTTTGTATAACCATAGATAAAAGGAGTATGTATAACTGCTAAACTGATCGGAAAAGAACTGTCGGTGAAAATAGGCTTTCACCATAAGACTGACCATAAGACTGTAGCTAATTTTATTTTATGGAAAAGAAGTGATCGGAAAAGACAACAAGGGAACATATCATGTAATTTTTTAATGAAAACAGCAAGTTTCCAGCCGCATTTTAGTATTGAAATATATTAAATTAATATTAAATTATATTAAATTTATTGAAATATATTTTATATGTTCCCGCGTAGTATGACAAAAAAAATTTTGATGTTCATTCTCATTTTATTGAATAACTACAGTATTGATAATTTTTTTTTAGTGTTAACTATCATTTATATATGTAGAGTATATGTAAAGCTTTAAATAGGATGACAAACATACTTCAAACTGCCGATTGCAGGAGCATAATAATTATTAATAATAATTATTGTAGGCGTTTAATATTAGCTCTAGATTGGTCTTCATCAATGATTCATATGTTGATTATATCAAATCACTTCAGTTATGTGCTCAAATTACACTGTTCAAGATGGTGCAATGAGCTATGCTTTACTGTATGACTAATTCATTGATCACTTAAATTTTTCCAGAGGTTATCAGATAATTTGAGTACAAATTGATAAATTATTAGATTTTTAAACTAAGCATATCGCTAGACTAAACCAACTTATAGTATAACTGACAAGAACAACATTGTATGGAAAAATTTATTACTGGACTGTATTTGGTTTACTTTTTCCGAGGAGAAATTTATTGTTTCTACCTGAGAGAATTTCCGAAGGAAGTGCACTAAAAATCCTTGATCTTTTTTTTTTATTTGACTATTATAGACTATTCGATGAAGATTGGAATGATTAAAAATATTGATTATACCGCTTAGCTATGTATATTTATTTATGTATATGTATATATACATAGATATGTGTACATAGATATGTGTATAGCTAATCAAACATTATTTTTATTGTAATTGATAAAAAATTCTATTTCTGTATCGATTTTAAATTAATGTTGGCTAATATAAACATATTTATAGTTGTACAATTTTATGAACAAAATATTATCCCTTGAAAGGTAAACAAAAGTATTGATTCAATGTTATATTTTTGTAATCTTGTTCTCAAGATTCTCAAGATCATGATGATGATCACAGTTATAGACCTTGAAAGTTATTGCAGCATTGCATCAAATTAATCTTCATCAAGTTAAATACCCAAGATGACCTTGAGAGGGTCGAGGGACAATTAAAAATACACTAGTGTAGCTAAATACGCCTTCATGTAGAAGTCAGCATGTGATAATAGTACATTTCATAACAAGAGTAGTAAGTGAGTAATTACATATTTGAGACTATATATGTTTGAAGTGCTTAAATGGTCCAGAATATGTATAGATCAACTTTCAATGGAGTTTTGAACGTTACTTTTCACTACACTACACAGACTAATTATTTTCATGATTAAAACAGACATTGGGTATTTATTTTTTACAGTTAGGGACATTATAAAACTCATAGCATTTATTAGGTTATGTCTTCAATTTAAAGTTAATATTTACATTGATTGTGCAGATTTGGCTGTTGAAAATTGAAACAGTTGACAAAACAATAACACATGTTTGTTTGTTTACTTCAGCCAAATTAAAAAAATATAGTAAACATTACTTTTGCATAGTAAACATTCTTTTTCCATAGTAAACAATGCAGTGATGAATTTTTGAAGGTGATAAACATGTAACGAAAACAGGTCATATTTAGTTGTGTAGCCTAAAATGTATTTGATAGCTTTTTGAAGCTGTAAAGAATATTTAACAAACTCTGAAATGAAATTCATCGAAAAAATTGTTTGGTTGAGCTTACAAGGAATATAGACTTCTGTATACTTTCAAAAATTACCAACAATCAATGTGATCTTATTTTTTAATGAAATAATTTTTCAAAACATGAAATTTATAAATATTGATATTCTAAAACATTCACAATACTAAATTGCTATCACACGGGAAAGAAATGCCAAATATTCAAACGTAGTAATACAAAATATTTACAAAAATTAAAAATACATACCAAAACAAATATAGAAGAAATTCCTAAAGCTAAAGCGGGTAATGTACTACATAACAGTCGATGCTTCAAGACCTGTTAAATTCGTGAGTTTAAGGTAAAGAGATTAGGTCATGGGCAAGGCAGGCAAGTTGAAAAACTGGTAACGGCCTTCAAATGCAGGTGGCATCTGGATTGACAGTTTTTATGAATTCTAAATTTAAATTTCAATATTGTTCTGTTAGTTCTGCATCTCTATAGATGTAGTTAACTTTGTGTGCATACATAAACATTCTACAAAACTATGAACCCAATTTAGGGTTGTTTTTATTTTGTACAAATGTTCAGTAACATTGTAGAGATAAATGTTGAGGTAATTTTTTTGAAGTTTGAAATTCTTTACCTTATTAGAGTGGAAATGAGTTGTTTGACTCACTGACAGTGCATTTAATAAGTATACCATTTAAATTTTGATTTTACCTGCTCTAAGCAGCATTTAAAATATTATAATACTAAAACGTGCAACATATATCATAATTCTGTGTACATTTTATGTTACAGATATTTTAGTAGGTGCAGGCCCCTAAATTATAGTATTATTTGTAATTTTCTGCAAAAGAAACCAATTATCTTACTACTATGAAGGTAAAGCAAATAAGCACGAAATATTGACAACCTAGTTTCACACACCCCAAAAACACAACATTTTTTTTTATCTAAATCCAATTTTATGAATTGATTTATATTTGATTTATATTAGATCATCGTAATGGTGCCTTAACCTCATACCCCATAATAATTCCCATAACTTAAAAACACCAACAAAATATACATCAATACAGAACTATGATTTAAAAAAAAAGTACTCATAAATAATGAAAATCAGTTTATTTTCAAAGACCCAATGGATTGCTCAATTTAATGATTACTGGCTTAATGAACCTGCTTCAAAACTTTAAAAATTCAAAACTTGTAAAATAATTTTCTAGCTACGATAAAATAAACTATATGTAAATATGTATTTACCTTGCAGCGGTAAAGTTTATGTTCTGTAGTCCATACATAGAACAGTTCCTACACTCTAGGGATAGACCAACTTGCCGAGTGCCTTGCTGGACTTTCAGCGATTCTATGACTAGAGGGTCCAGCCTTGGGATCCGATACTTGGGGTCTCCTATGAAAAAAAAAATAATAAGAAATACAAAAATAACCTAATACAATTGCAGAATTAAATTTAAGCTGTGTTTGTACATAAAAACATTGATTGACCTTTCTTTAGACTTAAAATCTACAAGGACATTGACTTGTGTAAGTAGACATCTTGTCAAATTAAAATCTGAAACTTGTTTGGATGTGTTGGATGTATTGACATTTCTCTCTTAGTGTTCGTTTTACTCCTCAATTACAATACTAGAGAATAAGCAAATGTTACACATATCTCGTAATATGAAGTTAAATTAATTTTGAATTTTCTTTAGTAACAAAAGACAAATTACAGTAGATCCTTGATAACAAGACTCTCATGGGGATTATAAATAAGACTTGTTATCAAGATTGTCTTGTTATTATTTATAAAATGTCAAGTGATTAATTTTGGTCTTAAAATAGCCAACACCTAAGTTAACCAACATTTGTTTGTAAATATTGTTGGAAAGAGTCATGAGTTTCCGGAAAATTGTAACTTATTACATTTAAAAAATTAAAGGTTCCGGTTGTAGTTTCGGAGCGAGCCCAAGTTCTTGCAATGACTAATACTTCAAAGGAATGAAGGTGAGAAGATTTTCATACTGCTGATAGCCTTTTTCAAATTTAGCGTGAAAAATACTGGGCATTTTCTGTTGTTTGGGCCATTTAGGGGAACCAAAAAAATTGTTACAAACTCTTCTTTCTCATCATTTCGATAACTAAGATATTATTACCTATTTTAATAGAAGTTAAATAGATGAAGAAAAGATAGACCGTAAAATAATATTTTTGGGATGGATTTAAATTGACCAAAAAATACTCTCAGAGTATAGTGATAAAGCTCCCCGAGCGAAGCTCGGTCCCCAGGTAGGCTACTTTATCTAAAACAATATATATTTAGATTGGATAAAATTAATTGTATGGCTTAATGCCGAGCAGACCCTGTTAAGGTGGGCATCGGCGATGCATTAAAAAACTACGGATTACAAACAAATTATATCCAGATCTAGTAAGGTTTTATACATGAGAGCAGTATGTTTTTGCCTTGTGATTACGAATCCAATTAACTTTTAATTAATGATTAATTAATAATAATTTTATGAAATTAATCGTTCATAACAAAATTTAAAGTTACAAATTATTACCTACTAACACAAAATTGATTAAGACTTAATTGATTAAGTGGCATGAAACAATTGACATATTTATTGTGTAAAATATACCACGAGTAGCATTTTTCATGGAATTTAAATTGCTGTAACAGGAAAACTGTGTTTTGAAATTAGCTCATATTTTCCTCCTAAGTCTTGATCCTAATGAATTTCATACACAAACTAAAGAGAAATAGAGCAACAAATAAACGGATTCAGATTTTTTAAAGATTTTAAGACATGACAAGAAGAAGAAGACCATTCAGTGGAAAGATAACCATTCTACAAGTTACCAAATAACCATTATTCCTGTTTTGTGCACGTTTAATCAAAGCGGATGTAAGATGGTCACCAAAAGGTTAAAACAAAGAATACCCTTGCTGCTCGAGCCTTGAGATCGTCCAGAGCACGCAATGCATTAATTAATTACTGAGGAAACGCAAATTAGCGGTGTAACGTTCTAAAAATATCAAGGGAATAAAACTGCTGTTCTCAATGCGTTTAAATACGATTTCAGTAAAGAATCAAGATATAAAATAATACGACAAAAATACCAAAATCTCTATATCATTTGATAGTTCCTTTATCCTATACACTCATACAAGTTGTTTATAAATCTTTACAAATTTGTGGTTGGGTCTTACTGGGTTAAAAGAATGACTCATCGTTTTAAAACTATGATGGTTTACTAAGGAATAAATGTTATAGGCATTGTCTTTATAAACGTTTGAATTCACAAATACAGGGTGCGGCAAAAGTCAGAATACCGAAAAAGCAGTTAAACTGTAGCTAGCATTAAACATAACTATAAAAGTATAATTTTAATGTACCTGTTAGAGAAGCTGCTCAAAGTGACCACCATCATTGTCTATACACTTGTAGCACCTTTTCAACACTGACTTACACATTTTTTTGCATAGTTGTGGTGTGAATAAAACATCAAAATGTTTTGTTATCAATTCTTTTAAATGTTCTAAACTTTGAGGTTTCTCCGAAAACACGTGTTCTTTTAACAAACCCCACATACTGAAATCGCACGGAGTTAGGTCTGGGGACCTAGCAGGCCACTCAATAGTTCCTCTACGTCCTATCCATTCATCGAAGTTATCATTTAAAAATGCTCGAACATTTAGGTGGAGGTGCTCCGTCTTGCTGCCAAATAATCGAACGACGACGCAACTGTTCAAAAGTGGGACTGTTTTCCAACTCTAAGAACACATCTAACATCCGTATTATCACGATCGAATTTCCACCAATTTTTCTAAAGAAAAACTCGTTGCTCTAAAGTTAGTTTACGATTCATGATTAAAAACACCAATAATAGAAGTTAATAATACAAGCACTACACTCACCAACTTAACTTCACTGTCACTAGTGGCATACTAACAAAACAAACATTCATTGATAAAGAATAAACAAAGACAAAATCAACCACGACTAGACGTCAGATTAGATAAGGAATAACACTGAGATAATAATAGCGCGAGAGATAAACAATGACGCTCACCGGCCTGCAGCGGTATACTGACTTTTGCCGCACCCGGTATTCAGTATTTTTAAGATTAAAGAATAACACAAGACCTAACATGAGTAAATATAGATTTAGTTTTTAAAGAACTAGTTATTCAACATCTCTATTTTAGGTGTAAAACAAAAGTGTAAAAATAACGCAATGATTCTAAAAAATACTTTGTTTAAATCTCTAACGTATATCGGTTAACCTAGTTTTACTGAGAAATGGGTTGTTTTCTGATGCACAGCAAAAATTGTTCAAAGGCAACTCCCAGCAACTATGACACGTACGATAATATTTAGTCTTGAATCAACAAGCTCATTGAACATCTATTGACTGCAAATCATACTAGTGGTGCGTTACAGATCATTCCTCAAATCTTACAGCCATTTTGCATGCAGAAAAAATCTATTTGTTAATTTTCTCCAATGAAAATGCTCATAAAAGGTTAAAAATAGGCATATTTCTTTACTTAAAACGTGTGTTAAATATTCTTCCTTTTTAAATGACCTATTTATTTCTGACTGTATTAAAATTACTCTCTTGTTATGCATTTTCATACACATGTTCTCGCTTAAAAAAATTATAACATGTGCTTGGTTATTTTGTTAATGTCGTTTTTATGTTTGCTGTCAAACACCTTGTGTTCTCAAATTTATCTAAATGAATTTTAACAGTTTACTCAAAGTATTTTATCTCAGACAAAATTGTTGACTACACCTCAAGAATTTTAATCAAGAAAATTAACAGAACACATCAAAGGTGTACAAGTGTACATGCTAATTCGTAGCATGGCAATCACAGGTCTACAATCATTATCTACAAATCTACAACAAGACTTACCATTGGTAATCTGTCTCACAGCTGGAGCGCCTTTTCTAACCACACACTCGTTGATGTTGGGGTCGTTGTATTTGCACCCTTGTCCGATATATGAAGCTGAAAAAATAAATTTGTTTGTATATTAAAAATTGTTTACACAAATCAAGAGATATGAAAATATATTAAACATTAATCGCAGCATTAACATAAGTTCGCCTCCTATCTAAAAACAAGCCTGAAAATTGCACTTCACAAAGTTAGCATTGGCCTGAATAGTTAAAATTATTTTGTATTTTTTGTAATTTTTTGTATGAAAAATATTAACAAAGTTTGAAAACCCTACTGTAAACATTTTTTTATTAGTTTGTATTGTTTTTAATATTCCATGCATTCATCGTTCATAAGCTGATGATCAAATAAAAAAAATATATATGCAATTGAATGCAAGTGACATTTTTCAACCAAAAAAATCTGAATTAATATATCGTAATTCATAATATATACAACAGCTAAATGTCGTATTTTTATTGCTAATATACTAATGCAAATTCAGTATTTTAGGACTTAAATTTTAACGTAAAAAAACTATTAAATGTATGTGGTGGATACAGTGAGTAAAACGTCCAAAATAAATCGTAAATCGATTAATGGAGGAAGATGTTAAATCATAACAATTGTGCATGAATTAATCCCAACTATTTGTATTTTGCTAAGCTCTGTACTAATCTTGAATAATTTCCATGCCAATATTCACTAGTCCTTGACGATATCGTCGATAAATGTCGGAGACCCAAACGAGTGGTTGTACTGAAGTCGTGCGGGCACAGCATCAAAGTATTTTGTGGTTTATACAAAGCAATTAGGCCGGCATATTACCATTTTAGGACAATTAAGTTACAATTCTGTCAAGAATGTTGACTAGAGCTGGTCTTGCAACACCTGTCTCTGACCCTGACCTAGCAGAGACTGATCTAGAAACTTGTCCAAGAGATACTCATCACGGTCTAGACCGGGAGCTATTGACCATTTACATATTTACTACCCTGGAAGAGTTAATTGAATGTTAAACACGACTGGATAATTAGTTTGTTTGGAAATAAAACCTGAAATTTCCTTTTTTGTTTCAAATTAACTCGTAACGTTGTAGTTTGTTTATAGAGATGTTATATGCAACTTCGTCCATGATTCCATTATTAGCTTTCTGATATTTTACTGATTTACTTTTTCCCGTTCCACCTTCTCATTGAAGTCAAAGTCAAAGTCAGTAGGATTTAGCCCGGAATTGTTTTACACATTACTTCAGGCTGGGCTTAGACCGTTGTGGCATTATCACTTATGTAAAAATGAATTGGTGATTGGCAGGATTTGAACCCACGACCTCGAGGACCAAAATACCGCACTCTATCACTAAACCAGCCCCCCACCCGGATACTGGTTCTTCTTTACTTGAGCCTTAATGATTGTACTTCTGATAATTCATAATTATGTAAAACATTTGATACTATATATAAAACATCAAAACTGTGAGTTTGACCTTAGTGCCAAAAAGGCATTTGCTGTTAACACATTACAAATACTAGAAAAGGTAATGGGTTTTTAATATTACTTACAGTATCAGTATCCCTAATTTTTAACCCTACTCCATTGTAATAAATTAAATTCGTGCAACGCCAGTAGGCTTACACCAAGGCTAGAATTTTAGGAAGCATCGTAAATGTTGAATCGATTATATGATAATATGTAAATAGCTAATATTAGATGGCTGATTATTATTCTTAATTGTTCTGGCATATCATCAATATGAAATTGTTTACTTACTATCTGTATAAACAGTATTCTTAATTGATACTTTATTCTTTTTGAAAATATACTTCAGATATAAAATGAGCGTTGACAAACTTTAAAAAATGTTATCTTTTATAAAATTGCTTTTATCATTCCATAATTTAATCACATATACGCGATAACACTTGAACAAAAAAATTTGATTCCCTTGGAAGATATTACTTTAATAGTTAATAATTAAAATAAAAACTTAATATATCCTAATCATATTAATTGTATCAATACAGCTACTAGACGATTTGTTTGCTTCAAAAGTCTCTATAACTAATTTCTGAAGTGTTGAAAATATACTATACCTAAGCACTTTAGTGATTTGATGCTACTAAGAAATTAGTATTGTTTCCTAAATTGTATCCACTATTCCATAATCAACTCATGCAAAACACAACAAATGTATATTCACCTGGAAGACATTGGGGGAAAAATAATTTTTGCTGACAAATTTGCAGCTACTTACGTAAAGGCAGGTTCGGTATCTTTTTCTCCTTCTTGGCGGCCTGTGATAAAGCAACGACAGAGATGATAAGCACCACAACACCGCGGGATACCATGGTGACGACAGTGTAGTCTTGAGGCGCGCGCGATACTTAACGTTATAAAGCTTAGCGTCCTCAGCACGACCTTCGGAACAGCTGATTGTAAACAGAGCCGGGCGGTCCGTTAAACCTAACCTATATAACTGATATCTGGACTGATCAGCTTCACAATAATGCTACTGGCATTAGGGTGTATTTTGAGGTGTAAATACAAATATGACTTGTTTCGTCTAGTTTTCACTTTGTGTAGCTTAAGTTTTGTTTAGTAGTACCAATTGGGATTGGGACGCCATCAAGGTGTGTATTTTAATCCGAATAGGAGTAAAGGATGAGTGTAGAATGGAGTGATATGCGTTTAGTTTTGTTACTTATTAAGATAAGCTGTTACAGTTCCATTAGCCAGGCACATTTAAAGTCCAATGATAAAAAACAACTGTGTCCAGTTTCGAACCATAAAAAGCTACTAGCTTTTCTCAGGATTGAGCTAGCGCCCTTTTGATTACCAGGAGAACACTGTAACCATTCAGCTAACAAGCTATTGTTTGGCTTATACATTCCTTGCTATCTGCAATCGCTGCCGTTTTTAAATTTGTTCCACTAAGTTCAGCTGAGTTATTTTTTTTTCTTAGTTGTCGCAACTACGAATCCTAGGCACAATGGACTCACCACAAAAATATTTATCAGTAGAGTTTATTCATTCTTGAATCCCTTGCTTTGCTTGATACCATATACACACAGATCGAGCCCAAGGGGCAAACTCAAGGTTGAAATAGACCACCAAAATCATTTTACAAAACAATAAATGCATAAAGAAAATATAACGAATAATGGTAACTACCATGATGATGTATATTTTTGATAAAATTTTAATATTTTTTACAATATGAAGTTGGCAGAGATAGATTAAAGAATCACTAACAGACCACACAATCAACGTGGGTCAAGACTCGTTGAAATATTTGAAACTAATTGAAATTCACGTACTGAACATCTTCGGCTGGGTTAAAAACGCAGGTGTGTAACTCGAGCACCGAATCAGGCGAATAATTAGTGATAAATATGAACTACAGGTTAGGCAACTGTAGCGCCGAAAACGGGGCTTCCGGTCACGGACCTTCCCAACCAAGGACGTCCTCTTCCTCTCCTGCCACTGAAATGTTGGAATATGCTGCAGTCCTGTGATTTAAGGTCCTGGGATCCTGCAGAATTGAAATAAAAAAGTTCGAAGAATGCTGCTGTCCTGAGGAAATTAAGTCCAGAATTATTTTGGTGAATTATTATATGGGGTGAAATTAACTGTGTCTGGAGAACACTTGGCCGAGAGGAACTGCAGTTCAGAGGACGTGTTTGATGAAGGTTTTAACTTCGAATGTTTATAAAAAAGATCTTGTGACTTTTTAGTCCGAGGTACTGTGGTTCTGTGGTCTAAAGTTCCGGGGTAGTGACTCATTGGTATGAAGGCAAAACGTTAAGTTTTTCATTGTCAAAGGACCATAGTTTGGAGCTGTTGTTAAGAGGTCCTATTTTTAGCACGTTTTATGGGAAGTATAAAGGTCCTGCAGTTCGAAAGTCCTGAGATCTAGAGAAATTTAAATACGGTGAGCAAAAGCCTTTGGACTGCAAACATACATAGTACCAGTACTATGGTGCTAAGGTGGTTTTGTGGTCCAAAATATTCTGAACTGCAGGCAAGGGCCAAGGTAATTTAATCATACAGTAGTCAAGTTCTTTTATGTCCTAAGGCCTAGGGGGTTTTGGCATCCTGATAGTCTGGTTTCCTTGTGCTTTGGAGTTTTGTAGTCAAAGTATCTGGATGCCCTTTCGTCTAAAGGTATTGTGGTTTGTTGAAACTTTAGTTCTTCCTGAGCTCCCAGAGGTTGTGTCCTGATTGCGAACAGTCCAGATTGCGAACAAGGGTAAAATCGTCCAGACTGCGAACACCTCAAAAATGCTGTGGACTACCTGAACATGAGTCGTCCAGACTGCGAACAAATATTTTGGAATCTGTTAAGATGGTTTAGTCGCTGTTGTTGAACGTGATTTTTAATTGCTTGTTTTTGATGTTTTTAGGTAATGATTGAGCTGGAATTGTGATTGAATGATTGATGTTGTAATGTGTAATGCATATACATGTTATTTCGGATGTAAGATGTATGTAAGTATTGTAATTGTTTTAGTTGCTATTTAAATTGCTCGTTGACGATGTTTTTTTTAGGTAATGATTGAGTTTGGAATGTGATATTGGCAAATGCATGTTTATTCGGATAATTATGTTAAACTATAGTCAGTATCTCTTATATTAATACGTCAGGGCTGTTCTTTGTGAACAAAACTCCTCCGTTATTTCTGGACCGATTTTAACGTTTGAGGTATCAAATAATTCATCTCAATTTGTAGTTTTGCATAAAGGTTTTAGAATTTAAAAACTCTTACCCTTAAGGGCACGAGACGCTCTCAAGGGTCGCATTTTTCCCATAAGAATTACATTGAAAACAAATTTAAAAACAAAAACAACTGTATATAAAAAGAAACTCACCAGCTTTTTGGGAGTAAATATTGATGTTTGTAATATTTAAGAGGTTATAGACAAATCTAAACTCAATCAGTTTTGTTGGAAGAACAGACAATTTCTTGAGTTTAAAGGACAAATATTGAAAACAGGTGGAGGAGACAAATCTTATAGGAAATCTTATACGTATGAGAAGAGTAGAGGAGAGGCCTAGTCTCAAAGTAAGGAATCCAGGTACACAATCACTTGGGGAGATGAATCATTTTTGCCAGTTATGCTAAGCAACTTAAAAACATGAAGAATATACAACACATGTTGTCACAGTGGTAAAGTAAACCTACCTAAAGTCCGATCAAATAAATACATGCAAGAAATGTTTACTGGTAAAAAGCTTTAAGTCGGAAAAGATTTATAGAAAACACTAAAAAATAAGGCCGGGTCCAAAAAATGCTAAAATAAACGAAGCGTTTATTATTACAAAGCGCTGTTAAATAGCGTGAGTATTTCAATTAGTTACAATCATAAGCATTTAGTTGGGTCTTTTAAACTCATCGAAAATTATGGCTGTTATTACTGTAGTTTTAAAATAACTTCTGTATAATACCGGTACTTGACAGTTGCTTGATTTCGAGCATCAGGTACCGTAGTTCATATGAAATTGTTGTTTTATTTCTTTTACTCTGAGATTGTTTAGTTATTGTAGTTGCTTGTTCAAGTCAAACACATTATAATTAATTTTAAATAAACAGCCACGTTAAATACCTATTATCAGAACAAATTTGTAAGTCTGGAAGAATCTGTCTGTTAATATACAAGTGGCTTTACCTAAAATTATACTACGTCTCATAAAGACATGTGTCTTCAAAAACATTCATCCTCTCCATTATGTATATTACCAGTCGTTGTGATTTAGGCTAAATCATTCTGTTAAGGGTTTCTATGAAAGGGTTGAAACCCCCGACCACTCAAAATGTGTTCACAATCAGGAATCCTCCCCACCCCACGGACGACCCCCTCCACCTCGTAGAACCAAACATGTTCGCAGTCTGGACTGTTCGCAATCAGGACTGTCCGCAATCAGGAGGTTAGGCTTCCAGATAGGTTCTTTACTGAAGAACCTAATCTAGTCTGGGATTTATTGAGGTAAATTGATAAGTTAGCCAATGGAAGAGGTCTCTGGCTCTTGGTATCCATGTCCTGTGACTTAAGAATGGTCGCAGCCTTTGCGCAGAAATTATTCACATATTTTTTACTCTGTGAGATCCAAACTCCTGTGATCCAAACCAGATGGTCTCAATTTTCTGTGATCTTGAGATGTTATGGTATGGCAGTCCTTGGTTTAGGGTTTAGAGGTCTGGATGGTTTGGTGGTGTACAATCAGAAGGTCGCAAGATCAATCCTGAGAAAAGTCAGAAGCTTTTATATGGTTTATAACTGGGCCCAGCTCTGTCTTTGATCAATAGATAATTCTGACCAGTGAACCGGGTGATCTTTGTTATAACAAAGCTATGTAATTTCATTCATTCCTCTGTTATAGTTCAACACTGATTCATCACTCATATTTGCCTGAAAACACACACCGTGGTGCTGGTGTATTGACGTCGAAGAAATCATATAAGATCCTCGAGATATTCTGTAGTCTCAAGGATAGTTTGAAGATTGACTGGACCACTGGGCCAAATTACTGTTAAACTAAAAGAATCAATTTAATTTAGTTTTATTCACAACTCTTGTTCTTAGCCAAGAGGAATGTTAATGTTGGATTACCATGAAACTATTTTTTAATAAATCATATTTAGTTACAAAATGTTATGTAGTGCTAATGAACAGATTATACAGGTAGGTTGTATGGGAAAGTTACTATAACACCTACCAATACTTATTAATTTATTACTTAAATAAAGTAATTATGATCGAAATGGTACGTTTTAAATCAATTTATCTCTCATGTTTTTCAGGTAGAATTGCCATACATCATATACACGCGTTTTTATATTACAAAATCTAATGGGTCTTAGGTTTTAGAGTAGAGTAAAAATAACATTCGTACAGACAGCTGAAGAGGACATGGTCCTAGAACAGCCTCAGTCCAGTGGAGTTTTGGCTCCCTGGATTGAAACACCACGAAAATAACTAAATCTGGGCCAAGTTTAAATTGTATATTGTATAGATTTGTTGGTCTGGACGCAAGGAACAAATCCACCATAGTGAGGGGACCAGGGAGTTTTGGGACACCCTGAAAAATGTATTATTTTACATAGGGGAGATTTGCTCACAGTATTAAGTTTGAATAGCCACGGAGAAGTCTATGTAAAGCAGAGCTAAATTGTTTTGCTGCCTTCACAAGATGAACGCCAACAGTGAAACACAACAACGCTGAACATTGCTTGGTTGTTTAACCAGGTGGATTATATGACTACTGTACTGAAGAAGTTTTGATGGTAGAACGCCCTATCGTGTCATGACCGGTATACTGATGTAAAATCCATGCTTCTTTCCTATTAGTT